GTTTGACTAAGTTACCCAGCTCAGGAGGGAGTGTTCCAGAGAAATTGTTGGAACCTAGAGCCCTGCATGGCATATATCAGAAGAATATTACTCTTTAGTGGTTATCATTTTTTACTAATTCATACATTTTTAAGGTAATTATTCACAATTTTCCCATTATCAACATGTTTTTCAAGCAGAATTTATGTATGAATGTAATTGCAAGTTATGTTAAAGTACAATGGCTACAACTGTGATTTTGAGTTTTCATAAACTAGTATGTTGAATCATATGACTTTTTTTTTTTTTTTTTTTTTTTAATTTTTTAATCTTAAGAGTTTCATTTTTGTATAGGTTAAAGAGTGTTTACGGTAATTGGTTTCAGAATAAAAACAATATAATCATCATACAGTCATCCCACTAAAAACTATATGCCATTGATGTAGGATTGTGAGAGAAGAATTAAAAACGGAGAAAATGAGAGCAAGAAATAAATGGAATGAGAGAAAATTTTGAAAAAGGAGAAATCTAAAAAGGAAACAATTTATTCATCATATTGTTTTTTCATCAGTCTGCATACCAAAGACAAGACAACAAGCCTATTTATAATGGCCTAAACAAAACAAAATGCTACAAATCTACCTATAATAAGTCATTCAAAGTGGAAAAAATAATATATAAAAGCTAAATCTAACTTAAAAAGGTAATTTTTCCAAGCTCCCAAAATAAAATCTTTCCTTAAGTAACAATATTAGTTTTGCTCTTGATTCAGCATCAGCCACTCTAAGCAATGGCATAGAAGAAAAGAGAAAAAATTAAAGAAAAGGGAGAAAGTTTGCCAATCTTACAGAAAAGTTAAGTTCTTAAGGTTTCCAAGCTCCTTTGGGAGAGGCCCAGAAAGTACATTGTGGCCAACCTCTCTAGCATATGAAAGACAAAATTATAACAAAATCAAAACTCATATACCAAAATAATCATATATAATCTAAACTAGGCTTTCAATCATAAGGGTATTTTTCAATACTTACAAATACTTCAATTGAGATAAATTTCCAATAAATGCAGGCAAGGGACTAGTGAAATAATATCGTTTGATTCTACTACAATGTTAAATAGAAAAACTAAATCAAATCTAATCTAATATCCATTAATTAGAAAACGATGAAGGTCAAATTTGACTTATACAAACCAAACGCGGGGAATTGAATGGGAAAATCCATACAAATTTGTCAGAAATTGCAAAGCCACTAGTTCTTCTGGAATCACTCCTTCTATGTCCAGTGTAAATACACTCCTGCAAAAAATAAAGACAAGTTTCAACCATATCTCCTCAAATTTGACCTGATTAGAGATGCAAACTCTCTCGGCTTAGGAAAAATACACACTCAAAAGGGATAAATTGTATACACAACTTTAGGGAAAGTTTTAACCAAAAGTTAAGATCCATCTAAAGCATCAGAAATAATCAATAGTGTATCATAAACAGTTCAATAAAAAGTTATGAATAACTCAAAAATCAATGTCAATAACACAAAATTAACCCAAAACTCATTCTCAATCTAAGTGAATATAATCTGTCTATACTTAAACAAAACTTGAAACAAGTTAATATGAAATTTCCGTAAATTTGCTAAAGAGAGAAAGAGATTACAGCTCCGTGATGTGGCAAATTGAGCCATTTTCGAGGAACAGTCACATTTGATAGCAGGATTATAGTCCTCCAAGCTAGTTGCATTTATAGCGGCTCCACTGCAGGGCTCTCCACTTATGTTCCACCATCTTGGGTCTGCTTGTACATCTCAATATCTCATTGTTGAAATATTGAATTCAATGCCCTCACTGCTCACCATAACAAAACAACCAATGCAAATTTCCATAACAAGCTTATATAAATGTAAGCAAGATTGCAAGCTAATCACAGATTTTCATAAAATCAATGATCTTTGAGGCCATAGGTATATCAACAAGCATTCAAAATAGTTAGAATTGAGAATTCACCATCTGGGCTTATCATAGTTGAAGTAAAAGGTTAATAACAATAATCCCCGTTAGTTATATTTAAAAAAATATAATCCCCCTAGAGTTAGAGAAAATTTAGCTGCCCGGTCCCCCCAAGTATGTATTTAAGAAAATGGCCTTGAAACTGTTCATCAAATATTTTATAATTTAGAGAAGATGNAAGAGGAAACAATTTATTCATCATATTGTTTTTTCATCAGTCTGCATACCAAAGACAAGACAACAAGCCTATTTATAATGGCCTAAACAAAACAAAATGCTAGAAATCTACCTATAATAAGTCATTCAAATTCTATTCAAAGTGGAAGAAATAATATATAAAAGCTAAATCTAACTTAAAAAGGTAATTTTTCCAAGCTCCCAAAATAAAATCTTTCCTTAAGTAACAATATTACTTTTGCTCTTGATTCAGCATTAGCCACTCTAAGCAATGGCATAGAAGAAAACAGGAAAAAAAAAAAAAAAGGAGAAAGTTTGCCAATCTTAAAGAAAAGTTAAGTTCTCAAGGTTTCCAAGCTCCTTTGGGAGAGGCTCAGAAAGTACATTGTGGTCAACCTCTCTAGCATATGAAAGACAAAATTATAACAAAATCAAAACTCATATACTAAAAATAATCATATATAATCAAAACTAGGCTTTCAATCATAAGGGTATTTTTCAATACTTACAAATACTTCAATTGACATAAATTTCCAATAAATGCAGGCAAGGGACTAGTGAAATAATATCGTTTGATTCTACTGCAATGTTAAATAGAAAAACTAAATCAAATCTAATCTAATATCCATTAATTAGAAAACGATGAAGGTCAAATTTGACTTATACAAATCAAACGCAGGGAATTGAATGGGAAAATCCATACAAATTTGTCAGAAATTGCAAAGCCACTAGTTCTTCTAGAATTACTCCTTTTATGTCCAGTGTAAATACACTCCTGCAAAAAATAAAGACAAGTTTCAACCATATCTCCTCAAATTTGACCTGATTAGAGATGCAATCTCTCTCGCCTTAGGAAAAATACACACTCAAAGGGATAAATTGTATACACAACTTCACGGAAAGTTTTAACCAAAAGTTAAGATCCATCTAAAGCATCAGAAATAATCAATAGTGTATCATAATCAGTTCAATAAAAAGTTATGAATAACTCAAAAATCAATGCCAATAACACAAAATTAAGCCAAAACCCATTCTCAATCTAAGTGAATATAATATGTCTATACTTAAACAAAACTTGAAACAAGTTAATATGAAATTTCCCTAAATTTGGTAGAGAGAGAAAGAGATTACAGCTCCGTGATGTGGCAAGTTGAGCCAGTTTCGAAGGAACAGTCACATTTGATAGCAGGATTATAGTCCTCCAAGCTAGTTGCATTTATAGCGGCTCCACTGCAGGGCTCTCCACTTATGTTCCACCATCTTGGGTCTGCTTGTACATCTCATTGTTGAAATATTGAATTCAATGCCCTCACTGCTCACCACAACAAACCAACCAAAGCTAATTTCCATAACAAGCTTATAGAAATGTAAGCAAGATTGCAAGGTAATCACAGATTTTCATAAAATCAATTATCTTTGAGGCCATGGGTATATCAATAAGCATTCAAAATAGTTAGAATTGAGAATTCACCATCTGGGTTTATCATAGTTGTAGTAAAAGGTTAATAACAATAATCCCCGTTAGTTATGTTTAAATAATATAATCCCCCTAGAGTTATAGTGATACGGAAATTACCTTTTGGTTTTTTATTTTAAAAGAAACTGTAAGTCTATAAAAGGGTAATTAGGTAATATAGAAATCTTAGTAGAAATTTTGTTGTTCCGATTAAATGTTAGGAGGTTGATTAAAAAACCCAAGTAAGATTTTTTTTTTTTTTTTTGAATAATAATTATTAGGGTCATTTTCCAACCTTCCATAAGGTTTGAGTTTTAGTCAATCACACCCCTGTTGGTTTAAAATATGATTCTACAAATCCCCTCATATCTCAAAGTATCTCAGACCTCGACTTAGAGTCGTTTGTGAAATTTTTAACCAATAATGCTACAGTTATCGAAAGATACACACCGAATAACGTGATATAATCATAATCGTCGGTGTACGAATTCGGTACGCATCCTTCGATAACTATATTAATTTCCATTTTTAACAAGGTGGACTAAATTTCATAATCACACTTGCGTATTCACAACTTAATTCATTCCAACAAACACTCCCATACCATTAAGAGTGAGTTTGGGATTAGTGTAGCCTTAAATATTTTTTATATAAATTATTTTTTAATTAAATTAATAAATATAGTTAAAAAAAATTAAAAATTAGAGAATCCGAAAAGTGGTGGGTGAAGTCACTGGGTAGTAGCAGGCCAACGATTCTGGTGGTACCAAGGGTGATACTTCTAGTTTTAATTTGTAAGCATGTAGTTGCACAGCTTTTAAACAAATTATAATATTTTTTCCAAAATGGGGTTCACTTCAATCTGAAGCTAGCTACTGATAAATTAGTAAACTTTAATATTTCTTAAACAATAATTAAAATAAATAATTAATTTGTAAAGTAAAATACACACATAAAAGAAAGGGGGAGAGAGAGTACCTTGGTCAGTAATTTGAGCAGTAAAGTTGTGAATTGCGAAGAAAAAGATGAAGCAAACTGCAAAAGTGGGAAAATCCTGTTTGATTACATTATCGGGAAATTATGTTTGTATTATTCAATCAGTCAAATCATCAGGCCTAATCCAATAATTAACAATTTCAATCCATATGGCACTTACCAGCTTAGCTTTCGTTTGATTCAAGTTTTCTCCTATATATATATATATATAAAACAACTTAAAGTTAACAAAAGGAGGAAGAAACAAAAAATTGCTAGTTCCAATGTTTTTGAAATTCATATCTAATGATAAACTATTCAAATTGTTAATTAAAGTTTTAACTTAAACCAAAAAAGTGTTTCATGAATATTTACTAACTAATGAAGAAGAGGAGAGATTGATTAGTCGTACCTAATTTTCTGTTGATTTGATGATCTTTCCATCGAGTTCAATGTTCGGAATATGAGCAATCTTAGACCAATCTTTACCTATTTCCGGTTCACATCTTTCGCTCAGTTTAGGACAATCTTCAATTATAAGTTCCATCAAAGCGATGAGACAATCCATATTTTTGGGTAAAGATGACAATTCTGGACAATTTACAACATGAAGAACTTTAAGTTTCTGCATCGACTCTGGTAGTGCCTTCAAGTTGGAACAATTTAGAATCTCCAAACTTTCCAAAGTGTTAGTGGAAAACTGAATAAGCCATTGCGGGAATTCCACCAATTGTGGTAATTCTTTCATGACAAGAAGTCGAAGGTGAGGCCATGTGCTACTAAGTTCATCATGATTGTCTTGCTTATTCGATCCTATGCTCAAATCAAGATTAAGCCTTTCACAACTTACCAAAAAAAGATCTTCTAATGAGCTTAGGCTTCTCACACCGCGTGGTAATGAGATAAGTCTTGGACATTCAGAAATCCTTAGACTTTGAAGGACTCTTAGGTGACCAATATCTTCAAACAAATATTCTAAATTATTACAATTGAAAATTCCCAAACGTCGAAGAGAATTCAAGCAACCAATACCATTGGTTGGTAGATGCTTTTGTATCGTAGTTAACAAGAGACATCTAAGACTAATTAAGTACTTTACATCTCTTGTTAACGCCTTTAATTCCTCACAACCCAATAGTGATAGATATTGCAAATTTTGCAACTTGTAAATAGAACTTGGGAGTTCTTTTAGTTTAGGGTTGTATCCTAGATGAAGACATCTCAAATGCTTCAAATTACCAATTTTTTTAGGCACTACTTCAATAGTTGAAAATTGTAAGTGTAACATCCGCAAGAATTTGCACCTTGAGACGATTAATTCCAAAAATGATTGGCCAGTACTTTCACCCGTAATTGGAAAAAAAGTAATGCTTCTCAAATGACCCAAGTTAGGTAAAATGTTTGGAACATCTATTATAGGTGCATCTACAGAATGAAATGATAAGTGTCGATGACTTTTGGTACAAATTTGGTTAGTGGATTTTACTATTAAGCACTCATTTCTCATCAATGATGTGGCAAGATCATGCATGAGATCATGAATTTTAAACCAGTACAAATTCTCATAAAATTGTACAATATCTTGGAAAAAAGATCTCGACATTAATTCTTTTATATATTGCATACCAATAGTTTCCAAATTTTGATTTTCATTGTGGGATTGAAGAAGCCCATGGGTCAACCAAAACTGAACCAAATCAACACTATAAAAAGAATGGTCTTTTGGAAAAATGGAAGAATAAGCAAAACATTGTTTCAAGTGAGGTGGCAGATGATTATAACTTATTCTTAGAGCATTTAAAATGTTATTTTCATTTTGATCCAACTTCCAAATCTCACTGTCCCTCAAATTTTTCCAGTCTCGTTCAGAAGTTGAGGAATAAAGTAGACTTCCTAACGCTCTTACTGCCAATGGAACACCTCCACATTTTTTTACAATTTCTATTCCAATTTCCATAAGGTTTGGATGTTGCTTTTCTTGCCCTTCTTTAAATGCATATTTAACAAACACTAACAAGCAGTCGTCAAGAGAAAGACCTTCTAACTTGTATGTAGGTACAGTGCCCATAATTGAGGCAACACGATCACTACGTGTAGTTACAATAATTTTACTTCCACTAACACATTCTATCAATAAATTTCTTAATTCAACCCACAACCCATAATCTTCATTCCAAACATCATCCAAAACTAACAAATATTTTTCATGGCTTAAGATATCACGTAGAATTCTTTGCAACTGGTCTATATTCTCATGAATATTTTTTTGCCCAGTTGCAGATTGGATGATGTCAATTAGTAGTTTTTTTAAAACAAACTCATCTGACACACATACCCACATTTTCAACTTAAAATATTCCTCTACCATTTTATCATTATACACCAATTTGGCAAGCGTGGTTTTTCCTAGGCCTCCTATCCCAACAATAGGAATGACAGAAACATTTTCATGGCCATCACTTGGACGTAATAGTAATTTCATAATCTTCTCTTTATCTTTATCCCTACCAATAACATCTGAAGCACGCACAAATGAGTGAGTTTCCCTCTCCCTCTCCCAACCAATAACATGATTGCTATCAACTTTCTCAGTGAGATTAAAATTATCCTTATCAACTGCTATTTTTGCTAACCTCTTTTTGATCTTCTTGATTTTATGCCCCAACGTCAAACGGAATGCAACTGAATTTGAAGATGAAAAAAAGCGGCATACCTTTCTAGTACTACTTTGACTATTCACCACCTGTTCACGCAAATCTTCCACCTCAATCTCGTCTAAAACATCTTCGGCATCGTAGCAGATATTCTTAAGCTTTCCCAGCCAAACTTTGAGCTTCTCATTATGGATCTGTTTGTCCTCAGCATCTAAGAGAACAGCTTTGATAGTGGTTAAGGTGTCAACAAGCTCCTGTGCATCTTTTTGGACACCCCATGCCAAGCCCATTTTATTGGAAGCAAGGGAGAATAGCTTACCCAAGAGTTCCTCAGCAATAACAGAGACGATTGTTTCTGCCATATCTTTGAAAGAAAAGAAAGTTGCAGGATTTTGTGTTTGTGAAGTAGTGAAGCAGAGTTGTATGAAATAATGATAAGCGAGCATCTGCATATCTTCTTCTTTATTGAATTAATTATTGGACCATACGCTTCCGCACGCAATTACATCATCACTTTGACCAAAGGAAGTTTACGACACGTCGCATTCTGCAACTTGCAAGCTTGTTTAGTTAGCTGTATGAAACCAATTGGAATAGAACACGTATGAATAGATCAGGCAAGAGACACGTGGCATTAATCAGATCACTGACCCGATTATAATTAAAAATGCCACTAATGGAGTATAGTTTAATTAATAATTAATTGTATTTATTAATTATTAATTAAGTTAAGACTAATGACTCCTCCACCGTTGACTTGTTTTCACACGCTGGATTCAACCAAACTGTGGGGCATCACTTTTAGGCTCTCGATTAGCTCTTTTTGTGATGATCATGATCATCAATTCATCATCATCTTGGGATTAATAAATGAAATTCCATATAGTTTAATTAATAATTAATTGTATGCTGTATTGGAGACAAGAGTCAAAATAATTAAATAACAACTTATTTGCACCTTTTTTTTATATATATGGGAATTGGTGGCCACCCTTTGTCACAATTAATAAATTCAAGGGCCACAAAAATAATTATAAAGGATTTTTGCTTTTCTGTTTTTCTGTTTTTTTTCTGGTAGCATTGTGAACGGACGAACATGCCAGGTGGGTTCATCACCACCGTTCTAATGTTAAAGTGGAAAGCTAAGTAAGGAACACGATTCCTTCTCTAATTTTTATAATCATAAACCTAACAATTAAAACATTACTTCATTTAACAATATTTATAAATTGAGAAAATTTATGTTTGTTTCACTGCTCTTAAAATTTAATCTTATTTTATTTAATTTAAAATATTTAGATTTTTAAACATTTAGGTTTATTAATTTGATTAAATACCCTTAACAATAAAAAGTTTATGAATTGCTGAAAATATCTTCACTCATCCATATATTCTTGGCAACCTAGCGATATTTAATGAGTGAGTGGGAATATTTTATTAATGTTAAAACTTTTACTATAAAGGATGTTAACTAAATTAACAAATATAAAAGATTAAAAAATAATATTACCAAACACATTTTCAAATTCAAACAATTTTTCAAAGATATTATTCAAAATAATATAAAATAGTGTCCGTTACAAAATTATTAACTTTTTCACATTATATTATTTATCAGTGATTTGTCTACACAATATAAATTTCTTACAGACTAGTCAACAATATAATCCGAATGCTTAAATCCAAATAAATCTAAAGAAAACATTTGCTATCATTCACATGACACATTTTGATATTTAGAAGTTATTTTTAATTTGAAATTATTCTATAAGTTACAAAATTCATATTTTTTACGTAATAGAGAAATGAGTTCACATTATTTATACAGTGATTTGCTTACACAATAATTAAATCATCATTAATATGAAATGGTGTCACTTCAACTTTTTGACTTACTTTAGCCTAGTTAGTAAATACGTGTTTTATACGTGAATTAGACGCTCAGCCGTTAATTCGCGTATAAAACACGTTTAACGTATGTTATAAAAATTATCGAATTATACGCGTATAATATAAATACCCGTATAATTCGCGAATTATACACGTATAATTCGCGAATTATTCGCGGTATTGCAAAGAAAAAAAAACCTATTGCTCACCCAAAACGACGTCGTTTTTAGGGGGTTTAATTCAAAATTACACGGTATCTCTTCTCTCTTCAGTTCTTCTCCTCCTCAGTTCTGCGACGGATGACATTTTCAGCTTTTTCCTCAGATCTTCAACTTTTTCAGCTTTTCTGCCAATACTTCTCCTTCCTCAGCTCGGACGGCGAACTGGTTGAGATTTTAACGGGTTTGTGTTTGTGTTTGGGGGAGAAGAATAAGTTTAAAGAAAGGAAAGTATTGGCAGAAAAAATAACCTGTAAAGCAGATGCATTGGTGGAACTCTGGAAGAAGCAGTGGCTTTGTGGGTGACAGGGTGAGACCGTGAGACACTGAGAGATGATTTGATTGAAGAAGAGAGGGAGGGGGGTTTTGAAGATGGGTCACGGGGTGTTTAATTTGTGTTTGTGGTGGATTTCATTCAACACTCAACACTGTAACTGTAGATTGCATTTTATAATTCTATTGCATAAACAAAACAAAAAAATATATATATATTTTCTATTGGTGGGATAGAACAAGACATGGGGTGGGATAGAACAAGACATGGGCCTGGGAATTTGTTAAGGCAAAGAAAAAATTAACGTTACCATAGGCAAAAGCAAAAGCAAAAGATTTAATTTAAGTCAATGCTGAGATACATTAATAATTAGTCCATAAAAATATTAAAATTAGGATTAATATTACCGTATTTTTCAAAACGTATTATTGATAATATACCGTATTAAACCCGTATATATCCGTATCGTATTTTTTTCGTATCCAAATTTTATGACCGAATTTTTATAAACGTATTTTTCACTGTTTGCCGTATTATACCCGTAAAATTCCCATACTCTTTTTTTATTGTACCCGTATTTACTAACTAGGCTTTTTAGAGAGAAATATTATCTGAGTTATACTCCTAATATGGCCGATGAGGTCAAGTTAGAAAAAATGGACGGTACAGAGTTTCGTTTAAATTTCTTGCAGAATAATGTGACAGATAAAGTCAACAATATAATCAGAATGCGTAGTATTGCCCTCACTAAAAATGCAACTCGGTCATCTCGGGTTCCACGCCTGGCTTTTTTCTCATTTTCTCACCTTTGTTTTTGACTTTTTACGATACGACTCTTCCACCGTTGATGTGTTTTCACACGCTGGATTCAACCAAACTGTGGGGCCTTCACTTTTAAGGTCTTTGATTGGCTCTTTTTCTGATGATAATAATCATCATCTTAGAATTAATGAAAGTTTGCTCAGACCTTCCAAAAGTTTGCTCCAAATTTCCGGTTTTTACGAGATGACTCTTCCACCACTGATGTGTTTTTATACGCTGGATTCAACTAACCTGTGGGGATATTAAGGTGTTTGATTGGCTCTTTTTGTCATAATGATATCATCATCTTGGAATTAATGAAAGAAATTCTATTTTTAATCGCGGGAAGGGGGCCCATTACTTCCAGGGGGCACTGGCGGTCTAGCCTCGTTACTTCCTAGTTCTCACTCATCAATCACGGTGTTCAGACTTCAGACCCACTCATCAATCACGGCATTGGAGTTAGGTGACCATGTTTTTTACTATTGTCAACTAATTTCTTCGTTTCAGAAGTTAAACATGACAGTTGGATTCTAATTTCATAAGGTTTGGAATATACAATAATGCTAGGTTATCGATTTTTTTACACTAAAATCTTATATAGACCTATGTATTCTGTAATTCACACTAGTAAATCAGACGCGTTTTACGTTATTAATTTTTTTTCTAGTGAACGGCCATTCATCAACTATGAACGACCGTTCATTTACGATAGACTCTCGTCCATATTATATAGAAAGGGGTCTATTTATTACGGACGAGTGTCCCAATTTAAAGGACACCTGTCCATCAATAAAATAAAATAATTTTTTTTATAAAAATTAGGAACGATCGTTCATTAGTTATGGACGACCGTCCCTTGATTTTGGATACCCGTCCACAATTAAAAAATTAGGGACGACCGTTCATTAGCTATGGATGGTCTTCCCTTGATTTTGGACGCCCGTCCATAAATTGTGGACGGGCGTCCCTTGATTTTGGACACCCGTCCATAAACTGTGGACGGGCGTCCCTTAAGTTTGGAGGAATGGACGCCCGACCCTTTTCGTTCTTACTTACTCTCACTGCATCTTTCAAATATCTTCGATCGGTTTAGCCTAACTCCAAAACTTTATCAAGAGCTTTAGTCGTAGACTAACCTGGATGGGGGCTCCATTTTTTCTAATAACAGCATCATAACCATCTACCTCCTTCCCAAACCTTGTTTTCAAAAGATCTCCTGAGTTACCAATAACAGCACAGCAGCCAAACTGCCGGGGAAAACATGGTGGCGTTTCAAGAAGTACCAGGGAAAGTTTCTCCATGCATAAAGTTTTATTCTGACGGCGGTTGCTGCAATAAAATAGGAACCACATCAAACTACGTGTGGCTACCTAGTAAATATTAATCCAAAAATGAGCATTCACAGAGAAACTTGTGGTCTATTCTATTGAGTAATACATTATTCTTGAATTTATACTGGGACATTTTATCTTAATGAGTTATCCCAAATGCAGGCAGCCATTTGATTTTATAATTTCTCCAAAACTAAAAAGACAGCAATCCTGCTTTACTTTTTTTTTTTCATGAAATGACAAGAAAGGGATACAATGTTTTAAATTGTTCAATTTTAGAACACTTTCAATATTTAAGTTAAGTTAGGTAATTAAGAGAAATATATATATATATATATATATATTTTTTTTTTTTTCTTAAATACAAATATTAAAGTATCTACCCTTAAACTTAAGTTTCTTATCTTGTGATGTTACAGCAAATATCTAATATTTGAATCTCTTATACGTATCATTTTCATCAATTTCAAATGACGTTGATTTATCAAAAATTGTAGAAATTTGTCTTCTGGAATTTACTAGGTAAATAGAAATCCAAACTAAAAAAAAAAACTACAAACTTCTACAACAAAATATGGGGTCTTAACGGCTCCGTTTGGTTCATAATTGGGTGTTTTTGGGAAAAGTTTTCCGAAAAAAGTTAAAAAAAAGTTGAATTGGGCAGGTATTACGATGTAGAATTTATAAATTCTAAAATACCCCCTATATTTGTTTATTTACAAAACACCCCCTATAATAAAATCTTAAAAGTTAACAAAAACACCACCAACCCAATGTCAAATACGGATAGCCGGCCACCACCGCCGGAGGGTGGCCGGGTTCACCGTATTGGCGCATGACCGGCTGGATCTTGCCGGTCGTGCGCCGATATGGCCTTTGCCCGCCAGATCCACGGTGGATCTGGCCGACAAAGGCCAGATCTACGGCCAGATCTGGCCGTATTTTCTCGTCAACGATGACCAACAAACGGTCGTCGTTGATGTCAACGACGACCGTTTGTTGGTCGTCGTTATAAACCGTTATGGCCAAAGATCTGGCCGTCAACGGCCAGATCTTTGGCCTTAGATCTGGCATTTTCCGGCCAGATCCACCGTGGATCTAACCGGAAAAGGCTAGATCGGCGCACTACCGGCCAGATTCAGCCGGTAGTGCGTCATCCTAACAGATTCCGAACATTTTCCGGCAGTGATGGCCGGAATCTGGTAAATATGAATTATTGGGGTGTTTTTGTAATTTTTAAAAAAATATTTAGGGGTATTTAATTAAATTATAAAATTTAAGGGGTTTAAAAAAAATTGAATAATATTGGGAGTAGTATTCCCAAAAATCAAGGCTTCGTTTTGTTCAAAATTTGAGGGTTTTGGGAAAAGTTTTTTTAAAAAAGTTAAAAAAAAGTTGAATTGGGCGGGTATTACGATGTAGAATTTATAAATTAATAAAATACCCTTTATGTTTGTTTTTTTACAAAATACCCCTACAATAAAACATTAAAAGTTAACAAAAATACCCCTAATCCACCCTCAAACACCCCCAGCCGGTGACCACCACCGGAGGTGGCCGGAGTCGCCTTATGGGCGCATGACCGGTTGGATCTTGTAGGTCATGCGTCGCTATGGCCTTGTCCGGCCAGATCCACCGTGGATCTGGCCGGAAAAGGCCAGATCTGGCCGTATTTGGTCTCAACGACGGCCAACAAACGGTCGTCGTTGATGGTCAACGACGATCGTTTGTTGGCCGTCGTGACCGAGTGTTACGGCCAAAGATCTGGCCGTCAACGGCCAGATCTTTGGCCTTAGATCTGGCCTTTTCCGGCCAGATCCACGGTGGATCTGGCCGAAAAAGGCTAGATCGGCGCACTACCGGCCAGATTCAGCCAGTAGTGCGCCATCCTACCAGATTCCGGCCATTTTCCGGTAGTGGTGGCCGGAATCTGGTAAATGTGGATTGTTGGGGTGTTTTTGTAATTTTAAAAAAAATATTTAGGGGTATTTAATTAAATTAACAAATTTAGAGGGTTTAAAAAAAATTAAATAATATTGAAAATAGTATTCTCAAAAATGAGAGATTTTGGGTATTTTACTGTTTAACTTTTTTGGGAATACCAAGAGTAGTATTCCCAATCTTGAATCAAACGGAGCCCAAAGTTTTTGGGTATTTTACTGTTTAACTTTTTTGGGAATACTAAAAGTAGTATTCCCAATTGGCAACCAAACGGAGCCAACATTTTTGTCCTTAACTTTTGACTGTTCAGGCCCAACCTTTTGAAAAGTGACAGTTTAGTCCCAAGGGCTAAAAGAGGTAATTGCTTTTTGAATTCAGTTGACAATTGAAGCATATATAGAAACTTGTACCGCCATATAATATAGGTGGCCTTTTAAGTGAATTTAAACTTGAAAAATGCTATCCTTACAAAGACTTATATAAAGAGGGCTACAAAGTGACATCAGCAATAAGAAAAAAAAACAAAGAAAAAACGGAAAAAGAGAGAGAGAAATCATGAAAATCAAAGGTGGAGATTGTCTTTGTATGCCCCATTTGTATGTGTCTTTGTAAAACTAGCATTGCTCTTTAAACTTTGTGGTCCTGATGGATATAAAGAGTCTTGTACTCATCATCATACATATCAATAGGAGTGCTTAACGACTCGGCTCAACTCAAGTTCGGCTCGTTAACAGCTCGGTTTGTCTGATAACGAGCTGGCTCAGCTCAGTTCATGAGACAGAATGAGCCAAGTTAGAGCCATGCTCGGCTTGGCTCATTAGGCTCGCGAGCCGAGCTTGGCTTGAAAAATCAGGGCGTTTTTTAAGGTTTTCTAAAGTAATGGGATTGAAATAATTATGCAACACAAGTTTTAAAAAATAACAAAATGGCCCCCATTGTTAAAATCCCTAAATCGACGACAGATGAACACTTGCCATAAAATTCATCCCAAAGTCACGATTTTCATCGCCATCATTAGCACAACTTTCAGTCAGATTTTCGTCATCAAATATTGTCTTCTTCGTTGGATTTTCGTCGCATTTCTTTGCATTTTTCTGTTCGTCGCAATTTCTTTGCATTTCTCTGTTGCCGTGAAAGGGATCTGCGACGTCGTCGACCGTGGGAGAGATTATATAAAGCACAAGGTGTATTCATTTACACCTAGTCGACGCTTGGCTATTAGAAAAAGGGCAGATGCCAAAAAAAAAAAAAAACAAATAGAAGAAAGAAAAACAAAAAAAAAAAAAAACACTTAAGCCCAGAAAATCAACAGGAAAAGGGTAGACACCAAAAAAAAAAAAAAAAAAAAAAAAAATTCTGCAAGTATCTAGAGCTGGCTCGCGAGCCGGCTCTAGTTCGGCTCGATAAGCCGGCTCAAAATATTCTCAAATTCATTATGAGTTGAGCTGAGCCATAGAATCTGAGGCTCGGGTCGAGCTCGACTCGTTTCTTAACCCCATTTCACGAGCCGAGCTTATTGCATGGGAAACTTCTTTGAAGACAGTTCCATCAATGAATATTACTGGCAATCACAAAGAAGTTGTTTTGCGTCTCAACTGCCAACACCCTGTAATCTACTCATTGCTGCTGGAATTTTTTTTTTTTTTTGCCTTTTTAATAAGGGGAAGTTAGAATCCCAGATATCAAAACATGGTGGCACATTGTTAAATTCTGAAACTAACATAAGGTGAGAAAATGTAATTCATCCCTTTTTTTTTTTTTTCCGAACCATACAATTAAACATTGATCTATTAATTTTGTAGGGCATACATATATTATTTTACAATTATAATAAATTTATGTTAGATAAAAAATTAAGTTTCAATAAAAAAAAGTTTAACAACATACAAGGAATGTGTGGAGAATAAATTAAAATATAATTTGAAATTTTAACAAATCTAACTACAAGCCAACAGAAATTAATGGCCACCTGCAATGGTGTGGCTAGCTTTTTAATTCAGAAAAATAAACTCACTTCAATTTTGGTAAGTGGTAAAAAAATCTAAAAAAATACATGAAACACTAACACATATCACTATCATTGCCAATAAGGGAAAATTTCTATACTTCTTAAAAGATAACGAATACCGATTGCTAACCGAATTAAATGATTTTTCCGAGGTAAATGAACATTGTCCAATTTTTAAATATTAATACTTAAAAGCTAAGAAAAGCATAATAAAGATCCCAAATCAGGAATTATATGCTTGAATTATAGAGATTGGAACTTTTATACATCTATATCCGAACCTTACAACTTGCATATACTATGAACGTTTCGAATAAGACATTTCATGCCACAAAAATCACATCCTAAATTACAAATCAATCACTGTAATCTTACCATGTATAGCAGCAAATTCTCGAAATTATACATACTGCTCATACTTCCCATATCCAGAAATTCCAAAAGACATTCCAAATACGCTAGTTGCAGACAAGATATTACAAGAACAAGAAATATAGCGAACTTTTTTCTCTTTACATCCAGTACGATGGCCATCAAATTCATCATCTAATGTTATTGGCATAGCGGATAACTTCACAACATTAAAAGTCCTACCATAGCTTGGAGGATAACAATCAATAAGTTAACTAGTTACATGGATTTTAGTGAGCAGAAGTAGCAGTATTATACACTCAGTTTCAGCGAGCGAATAAATTTCTCAACTCCCCACTGCTATCATGTCACTGAACCAAGCGACATTGGCTCTTCTTTCTGCTGTAACTTCTTGTAGAAGAGGATGTAACAATATCTTTGTTCAAAACGCTATTTGTTGTGTCCTTAAAAACCCCAATCAGTCAAACAACTTGGCTTTGAAGTAACCGTTTCCACTTCGATCTCTCCAGCAAGCATGTTAACGACGCGTGACATTAGTGGCCGTAACATTGGTGATGCTTGACTGCACAATAGGCAACTCCAATTATTCGTAGAGCTTTGATTTCATTGAACCCTGCTAAATTAGGATCCATCAGCCCCAAACTTTGGTTACTTTCATGAAGACTCCAGGCCTAAAAATACAATATAGACCATTCAAAAAGCATGAGTTTTTGCATTAAGGTACATTGGAGAAAGAAAACAAAACAAGTAAAAATTCAAGTTTATTCTCTTTACCCATTCAAGAAGATAAATTTTTTCCCTATCCAAGCTAGTATCAGAGTTTGCTCTTCCACTCATAATCTCCAAAGCAACAACACCAAAACTGAATACATCAGCCATTTTTGTCAAGTGTCCACACATTGCATACTCCAGTGCCAAATAGCCACGGCAAGAAAATGGAGGGTTTCTCAAGGTTAAAATCCAAAAATAAAGTTTGGATATACAGATTGCTCTCACGGTCATTCTTATCAATACTTATATGTTGAGTATTTGAAATACTCACAACAAAATCTACTAGATATTTTGAAATACTCAGCAGCACATTCTAAAATGGAATATTAAGGAAGAATGGTAGTCAAGGAATGATTGAAGCAGCTTATCTGGTCCCTGCAACTCTGGTGCTGATGTGAGTTTAGTGTCATCATACAGCTTTGCCAATCTGAAATCTGATATCTTTTGGCAGAGTTTTGCATCAAGTAAAATATTACTTGTTTTGACATCTCGATGTATGATCTTTGGCCTAGAATCCTCATGAAGATATGCTAGATCTCTTGCAGTTCCCAAGCATATTTTGAACCAGGTAGGCCAATCAAGATGCCTCCCCCTTCTTCCTGCATAAACATAGCTGCAATCGTTAAGATCTTCCAAGAGTTATTAACGTTGATAATTGAGAAATCACCGACAATTTATCTCCAGAAATGACTTGGAGCTTATTAAAATAATGTCAAATCAGCTCTTTGGAAATCATTTCCTTACTCTTGTACTAAATGCATTTTACAGAGTAGTGCAAATATTTCTCTTTATATATTAAAACATTTGAAAGTCATCACAAATGTATTTTGTACGGCAAAATTCATTGTTTATAACTGGTAGTAAATCATCGGAGAGAAATCACTTGCACTAATTTGGAGTTGCTTGGAAGAAAAGCAAATAAACTAAGGTTGATCATCAATTAGCATCTTCATACCAAACAATACTTGATCAAGACTTTTGTTTTGAAGATAGTCATAAACAAGGAGGAGCCTAGTTCCCTCGATGCAGCAACCATCTAATTTCACAAAATTGCGATGTTGCAATGCAATTATGGTAGCAATCTCATTAACAAACTTATTTTTCCCTTGGCAGGATCCTAGTGAAAGTTGCTTCACAGCTATTACCCTTCCATCAGAAAGTGTACCCTTTAGCACCAGATTTATTAACATAAATCATAGCTGCTCCATCCTTGGTGAGTTTCCAAAAGCTAAAATTCACCTATTTTTCCTGTTATACAACATCTCAACCCAAGTTCCCAGTGTACTATTCATCGTTTATAACTTGTAAATGTAAGATATAAAAGTTACCTATTACAAAGGTCCAAATCCTCCCTGGCCAAGCTTATTTGGACGGTCGAAGTCTTCTGTTGCAGACCTCAACTCAGCATCACTGAAAATTTTTAGTTTAGGTCCTATTCCAAGTAGCACTACATATTGAAGCAAGATAAAAGAATACATAACGTTGAGGATTTACATGACAAGAGATGAATTACAACAGAAGCTTTGCCTATTTCATGGAATATGCCATTCCTAGTTTTGAAATTAGATATTAGAAGCCCATATTTTGTATCTGTTATAAGGATGAGATATTATATATCTGTTATTTATGTTTCTTCGGTGCACCGAAACAAAAATCACATTTATGCTACACCTATATTCTGGAATGCTGAAGTGAAATGCAAATTCATTGATTTTCAAAAACAAACTTGGTCGCAAAGATTTTACAACTTCTATTTTCTAAAAAATCTATTTGGCACTCTTACCTTCTGCATCATCATTATCTCTTTTTATCCTCAAGTGAAGAATTAAAAATATCAGTATCAAACCCAAACTTCCAAGAGCTACAGCAATACCAACAATCAACCCACTCTTCTTCTTCTTTCGTCTAGTACCAACAGTTGGTGTGAAATCTGAGTAGGAAAATTCAGTATGTCTATTAGAAAGCATTTAAGCACTGTTATTGTAACTCATCTTATACGAAGATTCAAAAGAATGTCATAGTTTACCTGGAATGACACTTAAGAGCTGAAATTAATGACCCATAGCTACCTCGGTCAGGTATGCAACAGGTCCCTTTACCAGCCCATAATAAGTGAATTTCAAGATAGTTCTCAGACACATTAGCATTAAATTTGTTTGTAATTGCTTTTCCTTCCCCACCTGCTCTTGTTGATATGTCAAAATCTTTTAACTGGAGAGTCCTACAGTATCAATTAGGAAAAAAAACAGATGAAATTGTAATAGTCAAAACTATATATATAATAAGGGTATGAACCAAAATTTTCCAGTGAATGCTTACCTGAATATAGATATCAAAAACATGCCTTCCAAGACTCATCCACTTTTGTGAGCCCTGATCACCAAAAACTGTCTCAGCAAAGGACAAACTTACATTGTGAAGTCCATTCTCCAGACTAAGTCCATAGAATCTAAGTGATCCCGAGGATTGCCTTGAAGACTGATAAAGCTTCAGGCCTGCGGTGCCAGTCACTTGCGAGCCAATATTTTGAACATTGAGTGTTAAATTGTCCTTCAGAAAACAAACCCGCATCACTAATTGCCAATTTTTCGGTATCAAGTACAATACAAGAAGCTCCACCAAGATCATAGCCATCGGCCTCACACACTATAATATCAACCTTCATTTCTTCACCACCACACTTGATTGCAAAACTTGAATCTGCTATTGCAAAAATACACTATGCTATCAATTTGGTCCAGTTATCCCAACTGGAGCTGAATTAACAAACAATTTATAAAGCCACAGTAGCATCTATATTTAAGCAAAATAATGCACGGAGAAAGGTAAATTGGTAGTACACTAAATTTTAGAAAAATAATTATACATCAGAAAGAAAGACGCTTACAGCGCAGTGCATTCTTATTGCAGAGAAAGTTTCTCTGTAGATAGTTCAATCCTAGGAGACTGTTGGCAAGCACAGAGAACATTACCAGTTATCTTTGTTAAAGCAGCATATTCCCTTGCCGAGGTTTTATATTTCTAGTAATTTTTTTCTTTAAGTGAGAGCCTTTTTTCAAAAATAAAATATAATACCTTATTTATCAAAAATGAAACTATAACTAACCTGATGTTTGAGCTTTCAAATGTGAAATTGTTGGCCACTAGATTCCTGTTCAATTCAATGCAAAGATAAATTATACTTCAAAGTTTGAAGTATACTAACTAGAGATGTATTATATTAAAATCAGAGCATGACAAATAATCAACTATATTAGAAAGACATCAGAAATGAGCTGCGACTTTATTGTACGCCAAATGGTTATTCCAAGTGACATTTGTTTGGACATCAGAAATTCAAGCGCAACAAGGCAATTAGTCGGGCACTGTTAAGTATTTCTGATAATTGTCACATGATAAGAGAAAACTGAGTCACTAAAGTGCTAAGTGTAGGCCATGAAAATGAATACTCAACAATTTCTCATAGTGTCGTCTGGTTCTCTTGAACTGGCATGATTGTTGTAAATTTTATTATTGATTAATTCATACAATCATGTAAAACATTATAATCTATTAACAAAACAAGGAAAGAGGATTATTGAGCTCCACAATGCCTAAGGTCCAAAGCAATGTTTGATTTTTAGAAAATGAAGATGGAAAACGAAGTTATTATGGTTCAAGAGACATACAGCTGTTTTGAACCTATAGTCACCCACGGGCCACGATAGAAAAGTTCCTGATAGATAATTGTAAGATAAATCTCTACAGGAGTATATTAAGCACCAGTTAGAAGGAATCATATGCAGCAACATACAAATCTAAAAAAGGAACAAATCACTCAAGATTTTCAATTGCTTTCATCAATTACTTGTCACAAAAAAGTGATTACAACTAACTATAGTTAAGATTTTTGAATTTTAAATGGGGTGGCCTATTTCCAAGATACATATCAGGAGCACTAGTCCCTTTTCATTCTTCTTCATTGTGCATGGAAAAATCTTTGTTTGAAGATATTTATTAATCTATTCATGAAACATCTGGCACATACCTCTCCACTCTTCTAAATTGGAGCCTCTATAACTTTCAAGGCAGATACAACAAAAATGGATATATAAGATCCATCTAACTAGACAAGATATAATAGGGCATAATTCTCAAGATAACTGAAATTAAGGCTTACATGTTTTGAAGATATAGAGTATTTTGCTGAGGAAGGTTCCTGACAGACAATTGTTTCCAAGAAACCTAGTGAGAGAAGCCAAAAACAAGTGATGTACATTTAATGAAAGAACAAGGATCAGAGAAAATCTAAAATAAGAAACTAAAACTAACTTAAATACAAAGTACTTAAATAAAAATATCTACTAGGGTTTAAACACCAGCACGGCAGCACTCAATAAAGAAAAATTTCAAATTAACCCATATCAATCCAAATGGATCGTGAAATTATCAGAAGAAATGGCGTTGTGAAGAAACACTCCATTGATCATGTTTTAAGAGGTATTTATGACTTTTACGTTTTGGCTTTGGGTTTAAGAATTAAGAATTAGATGAACAATTGATTTAGGCATAAGCTGATTCTTATTCTTTAGCCTCTATCTACTTGGGCTTTTTGTAGTGATATCTATTTTACCAATGGGCTAGTGGATTACAAGAATGCTAAATATACCCCATCTCTTTGGAAGTGTTAATTTTGAGATAAGACTTTACAAATGGGTACGTTTAAGAATAAGTTAGGGCATGCTTCTTTGTTTTTAGTTCTACGTGAAAACTGGAAAGAATTAACTTAAAAAAAAAAAATAGATATATTTGTTTAAAATTAACCGAAAAATACCCAAAAAAAAATCCTTTAAAAAAAGGAACAGTTTCTTTATATACAAATAACTAAGCTTAATCAGAAATCAAAATGCACTTTTGAGAATTATTTTTTGGTTACAAGAAGGAATAAGAGAATGTACCTTCGATAGGATCAGTAGTGACAATATGAGCAGTTGATTTTTGAAAGATGAAGAAAACGATGAAGCAAATACAGAATAAATGAGCGAAAGATGACGACGAAGAAGAAGATGATAAATCAATTTGAGCAGTTGATAGTTGAATTTTGGGCATACTTGGTGATTCACTATATATGTAATTGCAAAATCAAACGATGAAGGTCAAATTTGACTTATATAAATCAAACGTAGGGAAATGAATGGGAAAATCCATACAAATTTGTCAGAAATTGCAAAGCCACTAGTACTTCTAGAATCACTCCTTTTATGTCCAGTGCAAATAAACTCTCCCCCCACCCCCAAAAAAAAAAAAAACAGACAAGTTTCAATCATGTCTCCTCAAATTTGATCTGGTTATAGGTGCAAACTCTTTTGGCTTAGGAAAAATACACACTTAAAAGGATAAATTGTATACACAACTCTAGGGAAAGTTTTAACCAAAAGTTAAGATTCATCTAAAGCATTAGAAATAATCTACACAATATAGCATAAACAGTTCAATAAAAAGTTATGAATAACTCAAAAATCAATGCCAATAAAACAAAATTAACCCAAAACCCATTCTCAATCTAAGTGAATATAATATATCTATACTTAAACAAAACTTGAAAAATATGAAAATTTCCCTAAATTTGGTAGAGAGAAAAAGAGATTACAGTTTAGTGATGTGGCAAGTTGAGCCATTTTCAAAAGAACAGTCACATTTGATAACAAGATTATAGTCCTCCAAGCTAGTTGCGTTTATAGCAGCTCCACTGCACGGCTCTCCACTTATGTTCCACCATCTTGGGTCTGCTTGTACATCCCATTGTTGAAATGTCACATTTGATAACAGGATTATAGTCCTCCAAGCTAGTTGCATTTATAGCGGCTCCACTGCACAGCTCTCCACTTATGTTCCACCATCTTGGGTCTGCTTGTACATCCCATTGTTGAAATATTGAGTTCAATGCTCTCACTGCTCACCACAACAAACCAACCAATGCAAATTTCCATAAAAAGATTATATAAATCACATATTTTCATAAAATCAATGATCTTTGAGGCCATGGGTATATCAGGAAGCATTCAAATTGCTTAGAATTGAGAATTCACCATCTGGGTTTATCATAGTTGAAGTAAAAGGTTAATAACAATAATCCCACGTAGTTATATTTAAATGATAAAAATCCCCCTAGAGTTATGGTAATACCAAAATTCTCTTGTGGTTAAGTTTTTGGTTTAAAAAAACGATAAAAGATAATTTAGTAAATATTTATTAATCATCGTACTATGCTACTATAAACTTTAATGGTATATTAACTATTTATAACAGTAAAAAAATTCGGCTATGTTTGGCTTAGTATTTTTATCTATATTCTGGATTCTATTCTCCAAATAATGTTTGGCACATTATTCCAGAAATATTACCCTATTTTTTAATTACTTTTAGACCCCATAAGGTTATTAATTTCACTAAATACCCCCTAAAAAAAAGTTTAAAAATTAACAAAATCACCCCCATTAACCCAACTTGTCAGATTCCGGCAACCACCGTCGGTGATAGCCAGAATCTGTACAACGGCCTAACTTCCGACCAGAAATGGCCGGAAGTTCACCTATGTGGCCTTTTCCGGCCAGATCCACCACGGATCTGACCGGAAAAGGCCAGATCTGGCCTTCAGCAACGGCCAAAGAAATGGCTGTCGTTGACGGTTAATGACGGCCAAATCTTGGCCGTCGTTGACTAAAAACGACGGCCACATCTTTGGCAGTCACTGACAGCCAAAGATGGCCGTTATTTGGCCTTTTCCGGCCAGCGACGTCCATAACAGACCGTAGATCTGGCCTTTTTCGGCCAGATCCACCATGGATCTGGCCGAAAAAGGCCATAACGACGTGTTACAGCACAGATCTGACCGGTCTGTGCCGTAACAAAATTTTTCGGCCAGATTCCGGCGGTGGTGGCCGGAATCTGGCACTGCAGGTGGTAGGGGTGTTTTTGTCATTTTATCTGTTAGAGTCTTTAATTAAATTAGTAAACCTAAGGGTTTTTTTACAAATTTTTAAAATTTACCTCGTAATACTCCCCTATCCAATAACTCAATACTATCCCCAAAGTCCTATCCAAAATACTAAACCAAACGCACCCCATATTATTTCTGAAATTTTGTTATTTTATTAAATCTTTAGGGGTTAGGAAAAACCCAAGTAAGATTTTATTTTATTTTTGAATAATAATTATTAGGGTCGTTTTCCAACCTTCCTTGAGGTTTGAGTTTTGGTCAGTCAAACCCCTGCTGGTTTAAAATATTATTTTACATATCCCCTCACATCTCAAAATATATCTCAGATCTCCCCTCAGAAAGATAGAGTTGTTTGTTACCAGAATTTTTTAACAAGGAAGACTAAATTTCATAATCACCTTTGAGTATACACAACTTCATTCATACCAACAAACACTCCCATACACCTAGACCTGGCAAATGAGTGGGGCGGGGCGGGTACGGGTCAAACGGGCCGAGAATGTAAACGGTTAATGAAGTATAAAAATAAAACCCAAGTAAGATTTTATTTTAAATTTTGAATAATAAGTATTTAGCGTCATTTCCCAACCTTCCCTGAGGTTTGAGTTTTAGTTAGTCACGCCCCTTTTGGTTTAAAATATTATTCATATCCACTCACATCTCAAAATATATCTCAGACCTCCCCTTAGAAAGTTAGAGCCGTTTGTTAGCAGAAATTTTTAACAAGGAAGACTATATTTCATAATCACTCTTGAGTATACACAACTTAATTCATACCAACAAACAAAGAAACACTCACTTGGGAATTTCATGGAACACATTGTAGACAAACCCGTTTGACTCCTTCAAGCCTTTTTATAGAATTAAAAGTACACATATGTAATAAAGATACAACCAAGCAAGCACAGGACACAAGCAATTGACATAAAAAGGACAAAGAGAAACAAGAGAAGGGATCATTTCCTTTTCCTATACATTTCTCCATTAGCTAATAGGTACTTCTAAAATTTAGTTAACAATTCCAAATAAATTTCAATTGCAAAATATAAAACTACCTGGACGGTTAGACTTGAGTTGAGAGGAGGACAGGCTGGATTGGAGTTCAGGGGATGATCGGCGATGAGTGACACCGGTGACGGTGACAAACTGACAGTTAGATAGTGAGAGAGAGGAGAGGGCATGCGACCACGACGGCTTGATATGAGAAATTGAGAATGAAATGAAATGAGATCGACGGTTACCCCTTTCAATTTAATTAATAAATATAATTAAAAAGGTTAAAATTAGAAAATCTGAAAAGAGGTGGGTGAATTCCCCCGATGGTGCCAACGATGTTGCAAATCCACCCACCACAAAAATGAAATGTTTCATTAGCAGTTTTGATGGAATTTTCAACTTAATTTTGTCCCTCTTTATTTAGCTGTTAAACAAAATAGAATATATTTTGCTAAATGGGGTTCACTTCAAACTGAAAGCTAACTACTCATGAATTAGTGAAGTTTAATATTTCTTAAACAATAACTAAAACAAATAATTAATTTGTAAAAGAAATAAAATACACACATAAAAGAAAGGGAAAGAGAGAGTACCTTCAATAGGGTCAGTAATTTGAGCAATGGTGAGTTGTGAAATAAGAAGAAAAAGATGAAGCAAAAGTGGGAAAATCCTAAAGAAAAAAGTAGCATATTGGAATTTGTAAAGTTGAAAATGAATCAACATATTGGAAAATTAAATAAGATGCAATTCTAATCACGTATGTATAGAAATATTATTAATCAAAGTATAATGTTTTCGTTAAAATAACAAAAAATTACACAAATTTTTGAAATTTTCAATTTAAGGACACTCAACGGTGAATTATCATTACACTTTCAATTTAAGGACACTCTAACAATGAATTTTTCAAAAAACGAAAGAGGTTAATTAAGGTGAGTAAAAAATTAAGAAAATATTGAAGCTACCAAACAATCTTATTTGTTATTATAACAATCTTGAAAATTGTACAATCTAAAAACCAAATGAAGTTGTACCTGAAAAACGTGAAGCCAATATCCAACATCGATTATTTGTTAATTATCATATTATATATTTTAATGGCACATTAGGTTAAAGAGTGTTTACGTTAATTAGTTTCAGAATGAAAACAATATAATCGTAATACAATCATCCCACTAAAACCTATACGCCATTGATGTAGGATAGAATTAAAAACGGAGAAAATCATGAGAGCAAGAAATAGATAGAATAAGAGAAAAAATTGAAACAAGGAGAAACTAAATAGAAACAATTTATTCATCATATTATTTCTTTCATCAGTCTGCATACCAAAGACAAGAAAACAAGCCTATTTATAATGGTCTAAACAAAACAAAAAATGATAGAAATTTACTTATAGCAAGTCATTCAAATTATAGTCAAAGCGGAAAATCTAATATAAAATCTAAATATAACTTAAAAAAGTAAAGTCTCCAAGTTCCCAAAATAAAGTCTTTCCTTAAGTAACAATATTATTTCTATTCTTGATTCAGCAATAATCAGCATCAACCACTCTAAGCAATGGCATAGAATAAAAGAGAAAAAATTATAGAAAAAGAAGAAAGTTTGCGAATCTTACCGAAAAGTTAAGTTCTTAAGGTTCCAGTCTTACAAAAAACTTAAAGTTCTCAAGGTTTCTAAGCTCCTTTGGGAGAGGCCTAGAAATTATGTTGTGGCCAACCTCTCTAGCACACGAAAGACTAAATTATAACAAAATCAAAACTCATATACCAAAAATAATCATATATAATCTAAACTAGGCTTTCAATCATAAGGGTATTTTTCAATACTTACAATACTTCAATTGAGATAAATTTCTAATAAATGCAAGCAAGGGACTAGTGAAGTAATTTCATTCGATTCTACTGCAATGTTAAATAGAAACTAAACTAAATCAAATCTAATATAATGTCCATTAATTAGAAAATGATGAAGGTCAAATTTGACTTATACAAATCAAATGCAGGGCAATGAACGGGAATATCCATACAAGTTTGTCAAAAATTGCCAAGCCACTAGTTCTTCTTGAATAATTTCTTTTATTTCAAGTGCAAATACACTCCTGCAAAAAATAAAAACAAGTTTCAATCATATCTCCTCAAATTTGATCTGATTACAGATGCAATCTTTCTTGGCTTCGGAAAAATACACACTTAAAGGATAAATTGTATACACAACTTTAGGGTAAGTTTTAACCAAAAGTTAAGATCCATCTAAAGCATCAGAAATAATCTACACAGATAGCAAAAACCGTTCAATAAAAAATTATGAATAACTAAAAAATGAATGCCAATAACACAAAATTAACCCAAAACCTATTCTAAATCTAAGTGAATATAATCTGCCTATACTTAAACAAAACCTGAAACAAGTTAATATGAAACTTTCACTAAATTTGGTAGAGAGAAAAAGAGATTACAGCTCAGTGATGTGGCAAATTGAGCCATTTTCAAAGGAACAGTCATATCATAGTCCTCCAAACTAGTTGCCTTTATAGCGGCTCCACTGTAGGGCTCTCCACTTATGTTCCACCATCTTGGGTCTACTTGTACATCCCGTTGTTGAAATATCGAGTTCAATGCCCTCACTGCTCACCACAACAAACCAACCAATGCAAATTTCCATAACAAGCTTATAGAAATGCAAGCAAGCTTGCAAGTAATCACACATTTTTATAAAATCAATGATCTTTGAGGCCATGGGTATATCAGGAGGCATTCAAATTACTTAGAATTGAGAATTCACCATCTGGATTTATCTTAGTTGAAGTAAAAAGGTCCCAATGCCAATCTACATCTCGGAAGACTCAACTTCTAGTAGTTGATTTACTCCATTTATTCCTACTGGAGCATAAGTAAGAATACAATTTATAAAGCCATAGATAGATGGAAAATTAAAGAAAAAGAATTAAACAGTTGAAAGAAAGCAGCAACTTGAACATTCTTATTACAAAGGAAGTTTCTCTGAAGACTGTATGTTCAATTTGAGGACATTATTGACAATCACGAAGTTGTTTTTGTGTATCTCAACCACCAACACCATGTACTCATTGGCCGACTGGAAATTCAACAACTATTTTCTTTTCTTTTTAATAAGAAAAGTTATAATCCCAAATATTAAAACTGGGGTTGGGTTTCCCCCTTCCACCAGAGGATTCCCCAAGCCCTAGCCTAGCCCCACATTTTGCCATCCCTAACAACAAAAGCCATTATACTAGAACTTATAGACAGGGACAAAGATAGATTTACCCATAATGTTTAATTAGCCAAATCTAGAGATGATGTCATCGAGGATGAAGACAAAAAAGGCAGTGATAATCGAACCCTAAACAGAAATAAAATCTGAAACTTTATTGGTATAAACTTATAGTGTACTTATTGTGCATATTCACAAGACAACTAAAACATAAATATATAACTCTGTACAGTGATGAAAGCTGAATTATAATTGTAAACACGAGATTCTAAATCAAACTAGAGGAATATATACTTTACTAATTGCACCATTTGCCTGAATCTCCATGAGTCCTACAGTATATATTTAAAAAACGAATGAGGTTAATTAAGGTGAGTAGAAAATTAAGAAAACATTTAAGGTACCCAACAATCTTATTTGTTATTATAACAATCTTGAAAATTGTACAATCTAAAAACCAAATGAATTGTACCTGAAAAACGTGAAGCCAACATCGAACAGCAATGCTTAACACATAGAAGAAGTAAAATGTATAATTCCTCTTGTCAATTGATAGAATTAGGATTCAAAATTAGGTTATTTCAATAGAAATCGAAGATTAATTTATGAGATAGAAAACCCACCTGCTTGACTTTCATTTGATTCAAGTTTCTCCTGCATACATATAAAACAATAAAGTTAACAAAAGGAAGGAGAAACAAAGAATCATTAGTTCAAATGTTTTCGAAATTCAAATCTAATGATAAACCAATCAAATTGTTAATTCAAGTTTTAACTTCAACCAAATAAGTGTTTCATGAATATTTACTTGCTAACTCATGAAGAAGAGAAGAGATTGACTTGTCATACCTAATTTTCGGTCGATTTGATGATCTTGTCCTCAAGTGAAATGGTCATAATATGAGCAATCTTGGACTAATCTTCACCTGTTTCCGGTTTACATCTTTCGCTCAGTTTAGGACAACCTCTAATTATAAGTTTTTTCAAAGCAATGAGACGATCCATATCCTTGGGTAAAGATGACAATTCTGGACACTTCTCAATACCAAGAAATTGAAGTTTTTCCATTGACTCTGGTAGTGCCTTCAAGTTGGAACAATTTACAATCTCCAACCTTTCCAAATTGTTAGTGGAACACTGAATAAGCCATTGCGGGAATTCCACCAATTGTGGTAATTCTTTCATGTAAAGAACTCGAAGGCGAGGCCATGTGCTACTGAGTTCATCATGATTGTCTTGCTTATCCGATCCTATGCTCAAATCAAGATTAAGCCTTTCACAAGTGCGCAAACGAAGATGTTCTAATGAGCTTAGGCTTCTCACACCATGTGGTAATGATATAAGTCTTGGACATTCATAAATCCATAGTGATCGAAGACCTTTAAGGCAACCAATATCTTCAAACAAATATTCTAAATTATTGCAATTGGAAATCCACAAACTACGAAGGGAATTCAAGCAACCAATACCATTGGTTGGTAGATGCTTTTGTATCGTAGTTAACTGGAGATATCTAAGACTAATTAAGTACTTTACATCTCTTGTTAACGCTTTTAATTCCTCACATTTCATTAGTGATAGATATTCCAAATTTTGTAGCTTGTAAATGGAACTTGGGATTTCTTTTATTTTAGGGTTGTATCCTAGTTCAAGATACCTCAAATGCTTCAAATTACCAATTTTTTTAGGCACTACTTCAATATTTGAAGAACGTAAATCTAACATCCGCAAGAATTTGAATCTTGAGACGATAAATTCTAGAAATGATTGGCTAACACCAGTACTTCCACCAATAAATTGAAAAAAACTAATGCTTCTCAGATGGCCAAAGTTAGGTAAAAAGATTGGAACATCTATTTTAGGTGCATCAACAAAATGGAATGATAAGTGTCGATAACTTTTGGTACAAATTTGGTTAGTCGATTTCACTATTAAGCACTCATTTCTCATCAATGATGTGGCAAGATCATGCATGAGATCATGAATTTTAAACCAGTAGAAATTCTCATAACCTTGAACAATATCTTGGAAAAAAGATCTCGACATTAATTCTTTTATATATTGCATACCAATATTTTCCAAATCCTGATTTTCATTGTGGGATTGAAGAAGCCCATGGGCCATCCAAAACTGAACCAATTTATTACTATCAAAAGGATAGTCTTTTGGAAAAACGGAACAATAAACAAAACATTGCTTTAAGCGAGGTGAGAGATGATTATAACTTATTCTTAGAGCATTTAAAATCTTATTTTCATTTTGATCCAACTTCCAAATCTCATTATCCCTCAAATTTTTCCAATCTTGTTCAGAAGTTGAAGAATAAAGTAAACTTCCTAATGCTCTTACTGCCAATGGAACACCTCCACAATTTTTTACAATTTCCATTCCAATTTCCATAAGGTTGGGATATTGTTTTTCTTGCCCTTCTCTAAATGCAAATTTAACAAACACCATCAAGCATTCATCAAGAGAAAGACCTTCTAACTTGTATGTAGGTATAGTGCCCATAATTGAGGCAACACGATCACTACGTGTAGTTACGATAATTTTACTTCCACTAACACATTCCATCAATAAATTTTTTAATTCAAACCACAACCCATAATCTTCATTCCAAACATCATCCAAAACTAACAAATATTTTTCATGGCTTAAGATATCACGTAGAATTCTTTGCAACTGGTCTATATTCTCGTGAATATTTTTTTGCCCAGTTGCACATTGGATGATGTCAATTAATAGTTTTTTCAAAACAAACTCATCTGACACACATATCCACATTTTCAACGTAAAATATTCGTCCACCATTTTATCATTATACACCAATTTGGCAAGTGTGGTTATTCCTAGACCTCCTATACCAACAACAGGAATGACGGAAACATTTTCATGGCCATCACTAGGACGTAACAATAGTTTCATTATCTTGTTTTTATCTTTATCCCTACCAATAACATCTGAAGCATGCACAAATGAGTGAGTTTCCCTCTCCCAACCTATAACATGATTGCTATCAACTTTCTTAACGAGATTAAAACTATCCTTATCAGCTGCTATTTTTGCTAACCTCTTTTTAATCTCCTTAATTTCATGCCCCAAAGTAAAACGGAAAGCAACTGGATTTGAGGATGAAAAGAAGTGGCATACCTTACTTGTAATGCCCTTGCGATTCACAACTTGCTTGCGCAAATCTTCCACCTCAATCTCATCTAAAACATCTTCAGCATCGTAGCAGATCTCCTTAAGCTTTCCCCGCCAAACTTTCAGCTTCTCATTATGGATCTGTTCGTCCTCAGCATCTAAGAGAACAACTTTGATAGTGGTTAAGGTGTCAGCAAGCTCTTGTGCATCTTTTTTGACACCCCATGCCAAGCACATTTCGTTGGAAGCAAGGGATATCAGCTTATCCGAGACTTGCTCAGCAATAGCAGAGACGATAGTTTCTGCCATAATTTTGAAAGAAAGAAAGTTGCAGGCTGTTGTGTTTGTGAAGTGGTGAAATTGGATTGTTGTATGAAATAATCATAAGAGAGCATGGCATTATATATGGAGTGAGATTCATTGAGTTGCGTGGGGATTACATGAAGTATGCAATATAGTGAAGATTAGTATATATTCTTTGTCTTGAATGAATGTAAGCTGTATTACACATCCTTTAATTCTCCCCCAAGAAGAAGTATATACTAAGATTTTTTGCCTTGCATGCAGTTCAAAGAAATATGCAACCTAGTGAAGACTAGTATATATTCTTTGTCCTAAATGTAAGTAAACTAAGGCTTTGAATTTTGAAAGTAGTGTTGGGAGATAATTTATGTAAATATTCTTCAACTTTATTGTTTACAACAATATAAGCAACAACTTTAATTCAAGTATATATCCTTTCCTTCATTTATGTCTCCAACTTTTGGAAGAAAATTCTTTCCTTCACCCCTCTTCCATACTTTATTGAATTCCTTATTACCATTCATATTTTATTTAAGTGTATTACTATTTGATTTTTTAATTATAATTTTTTATATTAAACCCCAAGAATTATGTCATAAACTTTTGATCAATTCTCAGGTTTTAAGAATGCTTAACCCGAATTCCCTCATTTAATTATGATAACGTTTAAACAATATACTTCTATTTACTATATAATCAATGATTGAAGTTAATAAAATATAAAATAAATTGTTGTAACATACATATAACATGACAATGACAATGAGGCATTGATAATCTATGAATTTGTATGTCTATTATTATTTTATTGGCCAAATTACATTCCTCACCTATGTTTCGTGAAGGAACCTTTTTTTCTATCTTAGTTTCGGACACTAACGAAGTTGTCACTCATTTTTCACATTTGGCCGTTAAGCTTTACAGAAGGATACTCATGTCATTTCCCCTCACTTATTTAAAATTAATCAAACACTTTAGCCGCATCTGGCTAGGTCAAATCAAGGACAGGTTGCCCTGGCTTGCTGGCTTTTGCCACCACTACCTTCTCTTCTGGTTGTCGCCATCACCTCTTCTAGTTGCCGAGGATATTAACAAGGGGTTTGCCCACTACCTTCTCTTCTAGTTGTCGCCATAGCAATGGCTGCTCCAACCACAATGTTGTGCATGATCCATGATTTAGTTGAGGAAGATGAAGTTTCAGATGATGAACACATTGACATTGGGCTCAGATTTTGCTCTAACACTCTCTTTGGGTCACTTTCATTGAAGTATTGTGTTTGTTTTTACTTCTTCTTACCTCTTTCTATTTTCTCCCCGACATCAATAGCTGTAATGCAGAGAACGACGGGAGCTTTTCTGGGCCATCTAGGCCGACAAGCTCAGTGGGCTTCCAACCCGATCCATCGGAAACCAATGCCCAATTGGTAATTGGACTCCCAACTGAAGCAACGAACAAAACAAGTCTTATCAAAAAGATTTAATGACATTAATTTCTATGAAATTTAAGTTAATAATAAAAATTCATTTTAAGTTTCAAAAATAATATAAATTTTATTATTATTAAAACAAACAAATAATTCAAACCTTACCAGGAATTTTTAAATCTTAATACTTAAAAGCTAAGAAAACTAGAAAAGCATAATAGAGATCCCAAATCAGGAAGAGTAATGTTACCTTTACTCACTCTCCCTACTCACTTCTCTTACTCACTTTTGTAAATATAAAATATAGTACGGATACCATAAACATAGTACGGATACCATATGTTATTTTAACAAAGGTGAATAAGAGAAGTGAGTAAAGAGAATAAGTAAGACTATCATTTTTCAGTCAGGAATTATATGCTTGAATTAATATAGAGATTGGAACTTTTATACATCTATATCCAAGCCTTACAACCTGCATATACAATACAACATTTCATGCCACAAAAATCACATCCTAAATTACAAAATATTACAAAAATTCTATCGATCACTGTAATCTTACCATGTATAGTAGCATATTGCTCATACTTCCCATATCCAAAATTTCCAAAAAACTTCTAAATAAGCTAGTTGCAAATGAGATATTACAGGGATAAGAAATATGGAGAACTTTTTTCTCTCTAGATCCAGTACCATACGATGGTCATCAAAATTATCATCTAATGTTTATTGGTATACGAGGATAGCTTCACAACATTACAACTCCTACGATAGTTTGGAGGATAACGATCAATAAGTTAGCTAGTTGCATGATTTACTGGGCAGAAGTAGCAGTATTATACACACAGCTTCAGCGAGCAAAGAAATTTCTACCTCCCCTCCGCTATCATGTCACTGAACCGAGTGACATTCACTGGAGAGAGCAATGGATCAACTCCAGGGCTATCATCAATTGCATTTTCACATTGGCTCTTCTTTCTGCTGTAACTTCTTGTAGAAGAGGATGTAACAATATCTTTGTTCAAAAGGCTATTTGTTGTGTCCATACAATCCCAATCAGCCAAACAACTTGGCTTTGAAGTAACAGTTTCCACTTCAATCTCTCCAAGAAGCATGTTAACGATGCGTGACATTGGTGGATGTAACATTGGTGATGCTTGACTGCACAATAGAGCGACTCCAATTATTCGAGAGCTTCGATTTCATTGAACTCTGCTAAATTGGGATATATCACCCCCAAACTTCGGTTACTTTCATGAAGACTCCAGGCCTAGAAATAAAATATAGACCATTCAAAAAGCATGAGTTTTTGCATTAAGGTACGTTGGAGAAAGAAAACAAAACAAGTAAAAATTCAAGTTTATTCTCTTTGCCCATTCAAGAAGATAGATCTTTCCCCTGTCCAAGCTAGTATCAGAGTTTGCTCTTCCACTCATAATCTCCAAAGCAATAACACCAAAACTGAATACATCAGCCTTTTTTGTCAAATGTCCACGCATTGCGTACTCCGGTGCCACGTAGCCACTGCAAGAAAATGAAGGGTTTCTCAAGGTTAAAATACAAAAGTAAAGTTTGGATATATAGATTGCTCTCACGGTCATTCTTATCAATACTTGAGTGTTTGAAATACTCGCAACAAAATCTACTAGATATTTTGAAAACACTCAACAGCACATTCTAAAAGGAGTATTAAGGAAGAATGGTAGTCAAGGAATGATTGAAGTAGCTTACACGGTCCCTGCAACTCTGGCGTTGATGTGAGTTTTAGTGTTATCATACAGCTTTGCCAATCCGAAATCTGATATCTTTGGGCAGAGTTTTGCATCAAGTAAAATATTACTTGCTTTGACATTTGGATGTCTAATCTTTGGCCTAGAATCCTCATGAAGATACGCTAGACCTCTTGCAGTTCCCAAGCATATATTCAACAGGGTAGGCCAATCAAGATGGCTCTCTCTTCTTCCTGCATAAACATAGCTGCAATCATTAAGATCTTCTAAGAGTCATTAACATTGATAATTGAGGAACCACGGACAATTTATATCCAGAAAAAACTTGGAGCTCATTAAAATATTGCCAATCAGCCTTATGGAAACACTTTGCCCGCTCTTTTTAGCTCAGTGAGCTAAATTTGTAGTTTTGTTATAAATAAATGCATTTTACATAGCAGTGCAAATATTTATTTCCTTATACATTAAAACAATTGAAAGTCATCACAATTGTTTTTTGTACTGAAAGATTTATTGTTTATAAGTGGTACTAAATCATAGGAGAGAAATCACAGGCACTAATTTTCAGTTGCTTGCAAGAAAAGCAAAGTAGAAAAAATTGAACTAAGGTTGATCATCAATTAGCATCCTCATACCAAACAATACTTGATCAGGGCTTTTGTTTTCAAGATACTCATAAACAAGGAGGAGCCTAGTTCCCTCGATGCAGCATCCATATAATCTCACAAGATTGTGATGGTGCACTACAGTTATGGTAGCGATCTCATTAACAAACTGATTTTCTCCTTGGTGGGATCCTAGTGAAAGTTGTTTCCCAGCTATTAACATAAATCATAGCTGCTCCATCCTTGTTGAGTATCCAAAAGCTAACATTCATCTAGTTTTCCTGTTATACGACATCACAACCCAAGTTCCCAGTGTACTATTTATTGTTTGTAACTTGTAAATGTAAGATATAAAAGTTACCTTGTACACAAGTCCAAATCCTCCCTTGCCAAGCTTATTTTAAGGGTCGAAGTCTTTTGTTGCAGACCTCAACGCAGCATATCTGAAAGTTTTTGGTTTAGGTCCTCTTCCAAGTAGCACTGCATATTGAAGCAAGATAAAAGAATACATAACATTGAGGATTTACATGACAAGAGATGAATTAAAAGAGAAGTTTCGCCTATTCAATGGAATATGCTATTCCTAGTTTTGAAATTAGATATCAGAAGCCCATATTTTTGTAACTGTTATAAGAATGAGAAATTATAAATCTGTTATTTATGTTTCTTAGGTGCACCAGAACAAAATTCACACTTATGCCACACCTATATTCTGGAATGCTGAAATGAAATGTAAATTCGTTGATTTTCAAAAACAAACTTGGTTTCAGAGATTTTACGACTTCTTATTTTTATTTTTTTTAAATCTCTTTGGCACTCTCACCTTCTGCATCATCATTATCTCTATTTATCCTCATGTAACTAAAAATATCAGGACCAAACCCAAACTTGCAAGAGCTACAGAAAAACCAACAATCAACCCAGTCTGGTTCTTATTTCGTCCAATACCAACAGTTTGTGTGAAATTTGAGTAGGAAAATACAGTATGTCTATCAGAAAGCATTTAAGCACAGTTATTGTAACTCATCTTATTCAAAGATTCAAAATTGACATATAACATAACAATGAAGTATTGACATCAAAATTATATTGTATAAGAGAGTTTATATATGAATTTGAAGTGACATATAACATAACAATGAAGTATTGACATCAAAATTATATTGTATAAGAAAGTTTATATATGAATTTGTATGCCTTTAATAAATTTATTGGCCAAATTACATAGCTCACCCTATGTTTCATGAAAGAACTTTTTTAATACCTCAGTTTCGAACACTAACGAAGTTGTTACTCATTTTTCACATTTGGCCGTTAAACTTGAGCGAAGAAGCATATTCATCTCATTTCCTCTCACTTATAGTTTTCTTCGAAATTAAATCAATTAAAAATCATAAAACAAATAAAAATTAAAAAACGAAGTCCGGCCGCGGCTCGGGCAGCCACACAGCCCAACCGCATCTGGCCAGGTCAAATGACGGCTAGGCTGTTCTGGTCTCCCGGCTTTGGCCACCACTACCTTCTTTTCTGGTTGTCGCCGTCACCTCCTCTGTTCGTCCCGTCGTCGCCTCTTCTTCTGGCCGTCGGCGGTTCTGCCACTGCCACTACCACCTCCACCTTCTAATACTCTCTATGTTATTGTTTTGTATTTTGGCTATCGATTTGAGATTTTATTCGTGGTTTTGATTACGGTGGAAGAATGAGTATCAGATTCTGTGTATTTTGTTGTGGAAGAAATTAGGTTGAAGAGTTTTGATCCGATTGGGTAGTGTTGGAAATTTATTTTTTTAATATATTTTGTTTAGGTATCGGACTGTAGAGGGAGTTTCTCTTTTCCTTTTTATGAATTATTTTATTTAGGTTTTTTCATTAAATTTTAAATTTATTTTAAAATCTATTTTAAAAATAATGAATAATAAGGATAGTTTTGGAATTTTAAACAGTCAAACCTGGTCAAATTATAATTTTGATGGACGGTGAGTAATGATGGGTGGCACATATTAGATATTTAGATTGCGAAACTAAGGGTGGAATCGTCTTTTCACGAAACATAAGATAGGAAAATGTAATTCGATCTTTTTATTTTTATTTTTTAATCATGCCATTAAACATTGATCTATTAATTTTATAGTGCACACATATATTATTTACAATTATAATAAAAACTATGTCAGATAAAAAAAAGAGTTAACAACTTTTTCCCACCCAAAAAAAAGTTTAACAGCATTTTCCCACCCTCAAACTTTTATAATACTCTTTTACTACCCAACTATTATGTTCCACTCTAGTTTGGGTAGGAAATACAATGATTTTTATCTTGAAGATGAAAATACATTTCTCTCTTCCTCTAATCAAAATTTGAAAAACCCTAGGGTGGGGAAGCTTCAATCGCCCACAATTAGTGAGCGAATAAGATCAAGAATGTTAGGGCTTTACGAAAATTTAGAGAGTCGATTGGTGGTGACAATGATGATTTCCGATAACAGAATCGATTGCAAAGCACACGGTTGGATGCTAGGCAGGTTGAGAGCTAGGTGTGGCAATAAATCGAATAGGTGGTGAGTGACTTTGGGGTAGTGAGGTTGGAGTGATCTGACAGAGAACGGTGGCCAGAAAAAACACAACACCAACACAACCAATCAAAATCTACCAATCGAGCACCAAAAATCCAACGATTTGTAGAGGAAACAACTACAAATTGTGACAGTCCCACAACCGAAAAAGCTGGACATGAGCGGCAAACGATGAGCATGGAAGGTTAAGGGAGGGATGGGTTTTGAAGAATAGAGGATGAGAGTCAAATGGTGGTGGCAGGGCGCATTTTGGGTGATTGAATCAGACGAAAAAAGGCTGAAAAGATGGAAAATCACGCAAAAACTCAAGCAGCGATTTTTGGCAATTGGCAGGTGCATCGGGCTCAAGGTGAACGGATTAAGGGTGAGAGAGGCTCAGGGAAGAGAATGGAGGAGGCAGTGAGTTTCAAGGTGGATTTCTAACACTGGAAATCCGGCTTGAAGAGTCAGCCGTGTGAATGGAGGTGGTGGTGGGAAATGGTGAGTGATGATGGCAAATAGAGGCTTAGGCTTTGTAGAGGAGGTGATGGGGATTCTGTGGGTGGTCTCGGAAGTAATTTTGGACACAAGGATAGGCCAAAAAATGACAAAAACTATTGGCTACGAGGCTACTAACGTGCGCGGTCCTTTTTTTTTTTCTTCTCCAGTGGCCAAAATGTTTGATGATCGTTCTACCCTCATTTATAATGGACTTTTGACCACATTGTCCTTCATCACAACGAAAATTACTAACAAATTTGTGCTTTGGGTATTAAAGTGGTATTATAAAAGCTTGAGGGTGGGAAAATGTCATTAAGCTTTTTTTAGGGTGGGAAAAGTAGTTGTTAACTCTAAAAAAAAATTAAAGTTTAAAAAAGACTTTAACAAGTCTAAATTGAAAAATAAATAAATAAATACACGAAACACAAACATATATCACTAACATAACTAAAATTTTCAATACTTTCTGAGAGACAATGAGTGTTGATTGCCAACTGAATTAAATGATCTCTCAAGGCTATATGAACATTAACCTATTTCTAAATGTCAACAATTGAAATCTAAGAAAGGCAGATTAAAGAACCCAAATCAAGAATTATATGCTTGAGTTATATGGAGACTATCCAAACCTTAGTACCATACAAGCTACATATACAGATATACTATGAATCCATATTTGTAACCTTGATGGTTAAATTCACAATGAAAAATATTTGAAACGCTCCGAATATGACATTCCATGCCACAAAATTCACATCCTAAACTACACAATATTACAAAAATTCTACCGATGGCTGTAATCTTACCCCTGTATAGCAGAAATTCCCAAAATTATACATACTGCTGAAAATTCCCATATCCAGAAATTTCAAAAGAGATCCCAAATAAGCTAGTTGCAGAAGGACTATAGAGAGGTTTTCTCTATATACATCTAATAAGATGGTCTTGAAATTCGTTGTGTAATTCATGGTATTGGTATACAAGGAGCAGCGTTATTCACTCAGTTTCAGTGAGCTAAGAAATTTCTCACCTCCCCTCGGCAATTATGTCATTGAACCGAGTGGCGTTTTCTGGAGAGAGCAATGGATAAACTCCGGGGCTAAGATCAGTTGCACTGTCACATTGGCTCTTCTTTCTGCTATAACTTCTTGTCGATGATGATGTAACAGTTTCTTCGTTCAAAAGGCTATTTGTTATGTCCTTATAATTCCAATCAGTCAAATAACTTGGCTTTGAAGTAACAGTTGCCACTTCGATGTCCCCAGCAAGCATGTTAACAACGCGTGACATTGTTGGCCGTAACATCGGTGACGCTTGAGTGCACAAGAGAGCAACTTTTATTACTCGTAGAGCTTCGATTTCATTGTACTCTGATAATTTGGAATCTATCAACTCCAAACTTTGGTTAACTTCATGAAGATTCCAGGCCTATAAATACCATAAGAGAATTCAAGAAGAATAAGTTTTTTAACACTAGGGTACATAGAAGAAAGCATAAAAACAAAAAAAAATAAGTACCCATTCAAGAAGATAAATCTTTTCCCTATCCAGGCTAGTATCAGAGTTTGCCCTTCCACTGATAATCTCCAAAGCAACAACACCAAAACTGAATACATCAGCCTTTTCTGTCAAGTGTCCACGCATTGCATACTCTGGTGCCAGATAGCCACTGCAAGAAAATGAAGGGTTTCTCAAGGTTAAAGTCCAAAAGTAAAGTTTGGGTAAAACCCTGTTCAGGCGCCCACTTGCCTTTACAATGTGAAAACCTTTATAAGTTAGCAAATCTTACATAAACACAAAGAAATTCCATCATTATCAAAGATGACAAAAAGTTTTCTCAACATACATGTATTGCTTTCAGAGTCATTCTCATTAATGCATGTACGTTAAACATGTTGAGTATTTTGAGATACCCACAACAAAATCTACTAGATGTTTTGAAATACTTTGCAACACATTCTAAAAGAAGTATTAAGGAAGAATGGTAGTCAAGGAATGACTGAAGCAGCTTACATGGTCCCTGCAACTCTAGTGCTGATGTGAGTTTTTCTATCATCATACAGCTTTGCCAATCCAAAATCTGATATCTTTGGGCAGAGTTCTGCATCGAGTAAAATATTACTTGCCTTGACATCTCGATGAACGATCTTTGGTCTAGAGTCCTCATGAAGATATGCCAAACCTCTTGCAGTTCCCAAGCATATATTGAACCGGGTAGGCCAATTGAGATGCAACCCTCGTCTTCCTGCAGAAACATGGCTGCAATCATTAAGATCTTCAAGAGTTACGGACATAGATAACTGAGGATTCATGGAAAATTTAACCCCATAAACAATTTGGAGCTCAATAATACATTGACAATCAGCTCAAACCCGTTTGTGCTCTTATTTGCTCATTAAATTTGCAGTTTTCTTTATAACTAAACACGAGGTACATAGTAGAACAAATATTTCTTTCTTTAAATCTTGCATTGGTTAAAACCTTTGAAAGTCAGCAAAATAGTATTTTGTACTGAAAAATTTGTTGTTTATGAGTGGACGCAAATCATAGGAGAGAAATCACATGCATTAATGTTGAAGTTGCTTGCAAGAAATAGTAGAAAATTAAAACTAAAGTTGATCATCAATTAGCATCCTCGTACCAAACAATACTTGATCAAGGCTTTTGTTTTCAAGGTACTCATAAACAAGGAGGAGCCTAGTTCCCTCGATGCAGCAACCATGCAATTTCACAAGATTACGATGTTGCACAGAAGTTATGGCAGCGATCTCATTAACAAACTGCTTTTTCCCTTGGTGGGACCCTAGAGAAAGTTGCTTCACAGCTATAACCCTTCCATCAGAAAGTGTACCCTGTAGCATCAGATTTATAGACATAAATTATATATGCTACATCTTTGGTGAGTATCCAAATGCTGAAATTCACCTAGTTTTCTTGTTAATAGTGTTCAGCTATGATAATGCATTACAAATACAAAATTGCAACCCAAGTTCCCAGTGTGCTATTTATTGTTTGTAACTTGTAAATGTAAGACATAAAAGTTTACCTTGTAAACAGGTCCAAAGCCTCCCTCGCCAAGCTTATTTGGAGGGTCGAAGTCTTTTGTTGCAGATCTCAACTCGGCATAACTAAAAGTTTTTGGTTTAGGTCCTATTCCAAGCAGCACTGCATATTGAAGCAAGATAAAAGATTACATAACATTGAGGATTTGCATGACAAGTGATGAATTACACCAGCAGCTTTGCCTATTTCATGAACAAACTTAGGTGTACTAGAACAACATTCATATTTTTTTGGAATCTACTTTTCTCAGATGCCCAGAGAACCTTTAACTTTGTGCCCAAGTGAGATGCAAATTCACTAAATTTTTTTAACAAACTTGGTTTCTGAGACTTCAACTATTATTAATTTAAAAATCTCTTGGCCTCTCTTACCTTCCGCATCATCATTGTGTCTTTTTGTCCTCATGTAAAAAGTTAAAAATATCAGTATCAAGCCCGAAATTCCGAGAGCTACTGCAATACCAACAATGAGTGCAGTCTGGTTCTTCTTATGTGCAATACCAACAGTTGGTNTCCAGTGCAAATACACTCCTGCGAAAAATAAAGACAAGTTTCAGTCATATCTCCTCAAATTTGACCTAATGACACATGCAAACTCTCTTGGCTTAGGAAAAATACACAATTAAAGGATGAATTGTATACACGACTTTAGGGAAAATTTTAACCAAAAGTTAAGATCCATCTAAAGCATCAGAAATAATCTACATAGTATAGTATAAACAGTTCGAGTTATGAATAACTCAAAAATCAATGCCAATAACACAAAATTAACCCAAAACCCATTCTCAATTGAAGCAATATAATCTGTCTATACTGAAACAAAACTTGAAACAAGTTAATATGAAAATTTCCCTAAATTTGGTATAGAGAAAAAGAGATTACAACTCAGTGATGTGGCAAATTGAGCCATTTTCAAAGGAACAGTCACATTTGATAGCAGGATTATAGTCATCCAAGCTAGTTGCATTTATAGCGGCTCCACTGCAGGGCTCTCCACTTATGTTCCACCATCTTGGGTTTGCTTTTACATCCCATTGTTGAAATATTGAGTTCAACGCCCTCACTGCTCAAGAAGCATTCTAATTACTTAGAATTGAGAATGTAAGCAAGGTTGCAAGTAATCACAGATTTTCATAAAATCATCGATCTTTGAGGCCATGGGTTTATCAGGAAGCATTCAAATTACATAGAATTGTGAATTTACCATCCGGGTTTATCGTAGTTCAAGTAAAAGGTTAATAACAATAATTTCCCTTAGTTATAATTAATTAATTATCCCCCTAGAGTTATAGTAATATAAATTATCTTGTGGTTAAGTTTTTAAATAATAATAATCCCCCTAGAGTTATAGTAATATAAGCGTCTGTTTTTTATTTAATATTTCCCACTATACTATTCATACTATTTTCAAAATATCAGTCTGTTTATTTATTCTGAAAATACTATTATATTTTTTTCAACTACTTCTAAACCCTTTAAATTTATTAATTTAACTAAACATCACTAGAAATAAAGTTTAAAAATTAAAAAAAATACCCCTCACCCACATTTGGCAGATTTCGGCCACATCATCGGAGGGTGATCGAAATCTAGTATAATAGTGCAATACCAGTTAGATCTGATCGGTAATGCACCGATCTATTATTTTTCGGCCAGATCCACAGCCAAAGATCTGGCTAGATCTTTGGCCGTAACTGGTCGTCAACGATAACCAAATCTTTAGTCGTTGTTGAAGGCCAAACATAGCCATTTAAAATTTCTAGAATTCAAAAACTACTTTTAGAATGTTAATTACAAAAAAAAAAAAAAAAACCCATTTAAACTCTAAATTTATTTATAAATTATATTTAATTAAATTAATTAATATAATTTAATAAATTATTTCTCCTTCACAGTTTTTAAACAAACTAGAATAGATTTTGCTAAATGGGGTTCACTTCAATCAGCTACTCATAAATTAGTAAAGTACAATACTTCTTAAACAATTGTATATTCAATAATTAAAACAAATAATTAATTTGTAAAATAAAATACACACATAAAAGAAAGGAAGATAGAGAGTACCTTCATTGGGGTCAGTAATTTGAGCAGCGGAATTGTGAATTACCCAGAAAAAGAATAAGCAAAAGTGCGAAAATCCTGAAGGAAAAAGTAGAATTTTCACACTGGAATTCATGTTTGTGTGTTTACATGAGAATTTAAGAGAATTGTTTCCACTGGAATTATATTGGCTTTTATATTAAAGCAAACGAATGGTACATGTCCAGTCCACTGTTACCTAGCCTTCTTAGCTGTATAAACCAATAGGAATTGGACACGTATGCATAAGGACAGGTTAAGGCAAGAGAAACGTGGCAGTAACCAGATCACTAACCGGATAAGAGCAAACGTCATGTTCCCACCTAAGGTTTACCGAAATCCAAGGTTAATACCATTGGTTTGATTTATTCCAAATACCCACCCTTAATCTAACACTGTTTGTTTTATTTTAAGAGGTTAAGGGTAAAAGTGTCAAAACCCATTTCTCTCAACACACCACCGTTGACTGCTTTCCTTCTTCTTCTCCTCTTTTCCTTTTACCTTTTCCTTTTCTTTTTCTTTTTCTTCTTCTCCTCTCTTCCAGATTCTTTCTCTTTTTCTTCTCCTTTTTTCTTCTCTTCTCTCCACCAGATTCTTCCTCTTCTTCTTTTTCTTCTCCTCTTTTTCTTCTCTCTTTCTTCTTCTCTTCTCTCCACCAACTGCTTCCCCTCTACCACTGTCGGGGAAAATGGAGGTTTTGGAGGTGGAAGGGTGGTGGTGTTTGTGGTGATGATGAGGACGGCCAACAAAGCCGAGATCGAGCCAAATGGGACCGAAATCGGGTGGTGGTGAGGAATTGCAATGGCGGTAGAGGGTGGAATGGTGGTGGTGGTGGTGGTGGTGACTTTGGGGTTTCGGGAGGCAGAGAGGAGCGTGGTTATGGCTACGGCTGTGGCTGTGGGAGGGAGAGAGAAGCGGCAGAAGAGAAGAAGGGGGAGAAGCAGAAGAAGAAGACAAAGATCGGGTGGTGGTGAGGGATTGCAATGGCGGTAGATGGGTGGAATGGCGATGGGTGGTGGTGGTGGTGACTTTGGGGTTTCGGGAGGGAGAGAGGAGCGTGGTTGTGGTTGTGTTGTGGCTGTGGGAGGGAGAGAGAAGCGGCAGAAGAGAAGAAGGGGGAGATGAAGCAGAAGACGAAGATGGGAGGGTAGTTTGGTAATTGCTCTCTTCTGAATCCAACAGTAACTAACACTGTTAGTTTAATGGTGGCAATCTGGAATAAATAAAACCAGTGGTATTATTTCTGGATTTCGTTAAACCTCGGGTGGGAACATGTTGTTTACTCACCGGATAATAATAATAATAATGCAGCTTGGCCATCTTGGGTTCCATGCCTTACTTTTTCATTTTGCTCTTTCCCTCACCTTTGTTTTCACGACATGACTGTTCCACCGTTGACGTGTTTTCAACCGTTGGATTCAACTAAACTGTGCCATCACTTTGGAGGCTCGTTTTGTGATGATGACGATGACATCATCATCTTTGGGTTAAATGAAATTTATCTTTTTAATTGTCTTCCATATAATTTATTTAATAATTAATTTTATTGGAATATATTATACATTTACACTTATACTATAGGACATGAATAATTAACTCATTCAAGTAAATAAAAAGACTAGCTTTTGAATGAAAAAATTTAGATATAACATAACGAAGTATGTGTAAGTTACAAAATAATTATAATCTGTTCAATTTTTTTATGAAATCGAGAGATGAGCTCGCCTTGTTTTCAAAAGAGTTTCCTCCAAATTTCCTACAGAAAAATTTGATAGACTAGTTAACAACATAATCAAAATGCTTAATCCAGACAAAAGCTATAGAAACTTTTGCTATCATTCATATGACACATTTGAATATCATGAAATAATTTTTCATACATAACATTATTGTAAGATTGGTCCAGATAAAGAACAATCAAATACCCACCTGAAATTTAACAAATCACTCACTGTAAGCCAAATTCAGGCAACAAGGTAATCTTTAAGCACAGTAGCAACAGAAAACCATCAACATGTAGATGGGATCTTCCTTATATAATTCTCAAATTTCAAAGATTAGCTCGTCTAGAAGTATCTATGTTACCGTTAAATTCACCAATAAAAAGTTTCTTAATTTCATAAGATTGAATCTGTGATGTGAAAACTATAGTTTTATTTAAAAAATAACTAAACAAATATATATTAAACAAAATGAATAACAACCTACATCTGCTTTAGTTTGACTAAGTTACCCTGTTTAGGAGGGAGTATCCCAAAGAAATTATTGGAACCTAGAGCCGTGCATGGCCGAAGAATATAACTCTTCAGTAGTCATTACTTTTTCATAATTCATACATTTGTATGATAAGTTTTCATAATTTTCCCAAGATCAACGTGTTTTTCAAGCGGCCGAACGACTTATGCATACCCAAGGTTTGTCGAAACGACAAGTTGGTATCCAAAAGGTTTTGAAACGACAAATAGGTACCTTCCGTCATGTTCTGTTAGTGATTTTCGTTAGATAATAGTGAAAAGACTAAAATGCCCTTGAAAGTTTAATTTTTAGTTTTTTTTATAAATTTTAAAAATTTCTAAAAAACCCCCTAGGTTTGCTAATTTGACTAAACACCCCAATATATAAAAAATTTATAAAATAACAAAAACACCCCCGCCTCCGCAGTGCCAGATTCCGGCTGCCACCGCTGGAATCTGGCCGAAAAATTGCGTTACAACACAGACCCATCGGATCTGTGTCGTAACGAGTAGATCTTTCATTTTCCGGCAAGATCCGTGGCTGATCTGGCCGGAAAATACCAGATCTACGGCCAGATCTGGCCGTTGAGACCGAAAACTTGCCGGAAAATTGTGTTACGACACAGACCCATCGGATCTGTGTCGTAACACGTCGATCTGGCAATTTCCGGCCAGATCCGTGGAGGATCTGGCCGGAAAAGGCCAGATCTGGCCGTCGAGGCCGAAAAAGGCCAGATCGGTGTGTTACGACACAGATCCGATGGTTCTGTGTCGTAACACAATTTTTCGGCCAGGTTCCGGCGGTGGTGGCCGAAATCTGGCACTGTGGATGCGGGGGTGTATTTGTTATTTTATCAAGTTTTTATATATTGGGGTATTTAGTCAAATTAGCAAACCTAGGGGGTTTTTTAGAAATTTTTAAAAAACAAAAAATTAAACTTTCAAGGGCATTTTAGTCTTTTCACTATTATCTAACGAAAATCACTAACAGAACATGACGGAAGGTACCCATTTGTCGTTTCAAAACCTTTTGGGTACCGACTTGTCGTTTCGACAAACATTGGGTATGTATAAGTCGTTCTCCCTTTTCAAGCAGAATTTATGGAAGAATGGATTACAGGTTATGTACAAGCACAATCACTTTAACTGTGATTTTGAGTTTTCCTAAACATAGTTTGTGATCACACTAGTTGTTTTTTATCTTAGGACTGCCATTTTTTTGTTTTCTAGGTTAAAGAATGCTTACAGTAATTAATTTTAGAATAAAAACATTTTGATCATTATATAATCATCCCAATAAAACTATACGCGATTGATGTAGGATAGTGAGAAGAATTAAAAATAGAGAAAATGAGAGTAAGAAATAGATAGATTGAGAGAAAAATTTGAGATAGGAAATAATTTATTTATCATCATATTGTTTCTTTCATCAGTCCACATACTAAAGACAAGCCAACAAGCCTATTTATGAAGCCCTAAACAAAACAAAATGCTAGAAATCTACCTTTAAAAAGTCATTCAAATTCTATTCAAAGTTTGTCAATCTTACATAAAAGTTAAGTTCTTAAGATTTCGAACCTCCTTGGGAGAGGCCTAGAAAGTGTATTGTGGCCAACCTTTCTTATTCAAATAGTAGAGTTTGAATCTTCCTTATTCAAATAGTAAATTACTATTTGGATATAAATTACTTTGATTTATGAGAAAAAGTCTACGTGGGAAAGGATCATATACATTATAATATTGATAATTTATTTTGTATTATTCAAGCAGTCAGAGCTTCATGCCTAGTCCAGATAATAACAATTTCAAGCCGAATATGTCAACATAATAGTAACCATGAAATTATAAAATTAGAAAATGAATTAACAAATTGGAAAATTGAATAATATGCCCTTATAATCACGCATATATAGAGATATAATTAATTAAACTACAATATTTACATGAAATGACAAGAAAGGGATACAATGTTTTAAATTGTTCAATTTAAGAACATTTTCAATATTTAAGTTAAGGTAGGTAATTAAGAGAGGAAGTATGTTAATGGATAACTAACATAAATCATAACAAGCCAAATAGTCAACTATGTTAGAAAGACATCATAGACGAGCTGAGACGTTATTGTATACCAAATGGTTATTCCAAGTAAATTTTTTAGTTTATATTTTATTTAATCTTTGAATAATTTTCTTATGAATAAAATGAGCTCGTTTTCTTCCACAGTTCAGTTCAATAATAATTGATTACCTTAAGGGCGTTTGGTTCAGAAAATGTTAGATTACTGGGAATATTGGATTACTGAAAAGGTATATTACCTTGAATATTACTGGAAATATAGATTAACTTGAAGATTACTGGGAATCTTTAGGAAAATGTGTTTAGTTAAATGGTGAGTATGTTATATTAATATGTTTAGTTGGGAGGAATAAATTGGTGAGTATGTTATTTAAATTATTGAATTCTCCTTTAATTAAATAATATTATTATATTATTTTTTAATAATATTATTATTATTTGGATTACTATAACCCTCCTACATTTAAAAACTTAGCAAAAACAACCTTATAATAAAAGTTTAGAAAATCAACAAAACATCCCCGACCAACGCAGCTACCACTGGCCGTTGACAACCGCCACAGGCAACCTAACGGCGCACGGAAGGCCAAAAATGGCCGCCGTGCACCAATATGGCCATTTCCGGCTAGACATCTGGTCGGAAATGGCCAGATCAATGGATTTGGCTGTTAAAGGCCAAATTTATCTGGTAGTCTGGCCAGATCTGGCCATTTCCAGCCAAATGTCTAGCCGGAATGGTCATATCAGCGCACAATAGCCATCTGTGCATCATTCCGACAATAGTGGTTATCGGCAATAGATGACTGGGGGTGGTGGCTTGGGTGGGCTATAATTTGTTTTGAATTCAAGGGTAATTTTAGTCGTATTCATGTAAAAAATTTAAAAATAAGGGTATTATTGTCTTAAAATTTTATTAATAAGTGATAGAATTATAACAAAAAAAGATAACTCTAGTAATTTTAGAACACCTAAAAAAATGGAGGTAATTAGATTTCCTCAAATATTATCAATAATAACCACTATTGGTATTGGAAGATCACTGATATCTTATATTATTTGACAACCAAATATGGTAACCAAGTAATACAAGATGATTTAATCCCAATAATCTTAAACACCCATTAACCAAACGCCTTCTAATTGACAAGTGTAAAATGGATGACCAAGTGTCAATTAATTAAGGTAGAAAAACCCACATGTTTATCAAATATCTTAGAAGGGGCCTTGATGTTATCGCCCGAAGAAGTGAAATTGATGACCCAAGACACCATTGCCATCTCTCGACCCAAAAAAAAAAAAAAAAAAAGAAGAAACACCTCCAGCTTGAGTTCCATGGCTACGCCTAAAAAGCTTCACATAACCATGTTTCCATGGCTAGCCTTTGGTCATATGCTCCCCTTCTTTGAGTTAGCCAAGCACATTGCTGGAAAGGATCACAAAGTCTTTTTCATATCAACTCCTAAAAACATCGAACGCTTGCCAAAAATCCCTCCAAATTTATCACCATTCATGAACTTCGTGTCCCTCACTCTACCCCATCAAGATAATCTCCCCCAAGACGCAGAAGCCACCACTGACTTGCCATTTTCCAAAGTTCAATACCTCAAAATGTCCTATGATAAACTCCAGGATTCTTTAACTCAGTTTCTACAAACTTGTACTCCAGATTGGATCATTTACGATGTCTTCTCTTCCTTCGGTGTCTGAGAAAGCAGCACAATCCGGTAGAGCTTCCGGATGGGTTCGAGGAGAGAGTCGAGGGCCGCGGAGTGGTGTGGACGAGTTGGGCACCTCAACTGAAGATATTATCTCATGAATCGGTGGGAGCGTTCTTGACTCATTGTGGGCTAAACTCGATTATCGAGGCACTCCATTATGGGCGTCCATTGGTTTTGCTACATTTTGTGATGGATCATGGGTTAGTTTCAAGAGTTTTTGCGGAGAAGAAAGCGGGGATAGAAATAGAGAGAAATGAAGAAGATGGGGTGTATACGAGGAAGTCGGTGGCGGAGACATTGAGGATGGTGATAGTTGAAGAAGAAGGAAGAGTTTACAGGGATAAAGCCAAGGAAATGAGGATTATAATTGCTGATAAGCAGCTTCAGAATCAATATGCAGACAATTTTGTTGAGTTCCTTCAGACAAATTTCTAAATATTAATTGAAATTACATTTTAGGTTAATTAAATTAAGCTAATAAATCAACACATCATCTTCTCCTTTTATGGATGCTATGCTTGTTGCTTGTACCTTTTGGCTTCATCAAATTCTTTCTACTATAAGGAAAATCTGCCAAAAGGAAATTGTCTGTCTCTACCTAGTGCCTATGTGGAATGTCGAAAGCACAAATCACCCCATGAAATCACTTTAGGAATCTACAGTGTTAACCTTGAACAGAAATCCCAAAGAGCCTCCAGTTTAATTATTACCTTTTTATTTTTCTATTGACAGAGCTGGCTCGAAAACATTACCAGCAGTCACTGTATGGACCAAGAAAAATATGAAGCTATTTGTGATCAATGAAAGAAAAGCTTCCTATTTCACTGTTGCTATAGGAGTTTGAGCAAGAAAGGATCGCCTAAAGGTGGGAAAAAATTGATTGTTAGAAGTAAGAAAATATCAAATAAAATCAGATTTGGGCCAGAAACGGGCTGGCTTTGTTTCGGGCGTTAGTAGAATGTGCGATTTCCTGAAACACTTGAGCATAAGCCCATGCAATTACTTCTTCAAGGAAGTTTGTCCCCAAGCTGAGAGTTGTAGTTGCAAACACGTTTAATGAACTTAGTTGCAATCGTTTAAGGTGAGAAAAAACAGCATCGTTTAATAACTTCTCCATCTTATTCTTCAGTTGTCTCTCACTATTTGTCTGCAGTTGATACCACTCTTATCTTTCACTTGTTTTTATTTTCTTAAAAATTACATTTGATTTCCACTACTGCTACTGCTTCTTCTATATGTTACATTAAGCAATACCCAGTACCCTAATTATATTATCAAAGGATAAGCACCTCTCATCTAATGATTAAACCACATTCTTCAAATTATCTCATAATTTTACTATACCTAATATTCACTTGACATGGTGATATGTCTTGAAAAATCTTTTATGTACTAGGTATTATTAGATTTTTAATACTATGGTCTAATAATTCCTTATTAAATGTAAGTACTCAACAATCTTTAACAACCTTCACTCAAAAAACTGTTTATATGTATAAATAATCAATAAAAATATGTTATTCGTAACATATAATATTGGTTTACACATACAGCTAAAAATTATGTCTGATAAACTTTCTCTTGATGTAATTCTCAAGAAAACCAACTTCTTTTATATTTTGACCTAATTACCCTAACAAAAACAATAATAAGCATTAACATTGTAACCTTGGAGAAAAAATTATGTTTTTGTTAATAATAAGCATTAACAAAAATAATAATAAGCATTAACAACTTTGATGTAATTATGAATTATATATACCCACTTTATATAGATTTATATGTTCACACAAAGGAGAAAAAATTGACATTCATCTACCAAATTTAACTAGAAGCTCACGTCATTTAGATTACATTGATTTCCCTTGTCGTGATTAAGATTCTCATGGATTCACTTGGAGTTCAAATCAAAATTTCCCAGTTCGCGCCATTCATCTTGCATGCCTGTCTCCCCATTTTCAGTTTCATCATCATTTAAGAAACCTTCAGACGGCTCCTTCTCATCTCTCTGTGTATTTGCTTCCCCGTCCGTCCATCATTTCATCTGGGTTAACACCTTGTTCATGCTTTCCCCTATCATCACCAATATTATTGCCTTGGGAACCAAGTGCACTTGCCCTTACTGGTGCTCAAGCCATCGTTTCATCACAAGCATGAGACCCAGCTCGAGCTTGCTCTGCTTGATGAACCATCGCAGCCATTTGCAACCTAGCCTCATGAGCCTCTCTACCAGCCTTCTCCCTTGTCTCTTCTTCTGCACTCAATGTCAGTTACAGTATGGGCTCTTTTCTCCTCTCGGAGAAGCGCCTGCTCAATCATCAACCTCTCCTCACATCAGAATTCACCTATACCTCGCTTGAGGGTTATTATGTTAAAAGCAAGGACCTGTTTCTCCAATGTTCCTGTGAACTCTGCAACTTTGGCAGCAATGTTGTTGTCCCACTGCTGGGAGCGAGAAGGCATTTGGCCTGTTGTGTCAGAATCAAGGATTCTATCATCTTCCTCTGCTTCATAGTCTGTTACCACATGATAAGGTAGTAGCCTGCAAAGATAGAAATGATAAAGCATGAATATCCAGAATATTCTCAAACATCAATCCAGTAAATCCTTTGAGTAATACATAGACTTTAATTTATTACGTTATGAACTATTTAACTAATTCATCTGATAAGCATGTCTTAAAAACATTTAAGACTTCAATTACTATGTTCAGTACTATTTATTGATTCATCTCCACATGCAAGAAGTCTTAAAATGCAAATAAGGATGATGTATGCTCAACAAAATGAATCAGTAGAATTTAATATAAGACATCAAATGATATGGAGCTGAGGGGATACAGTTATTGATTTGTGTATTTATGTTTTACAAGAAATTCATATAGTTAATTTAATAGTAATGAACATTTGCACTGAATCAAGATGCCTTTCACATCATGCCTTAAAGGGGAGAAGTGTTGGCACAGAATGACCACAAATTACTGCATAAGTCAAAAAATTTAATAGTAATGAACATTTGCACTGAATCAAGATGCCTTTTACATCATGCCTTAAAGGGGAGAAGTGTTGGCACAGAATGACCACAAATTACTGCATAAGTCAAATCACCACTCCAATTGATTTCAACAAACTAAACTCATCACATGTAAATGGTTGATATATTAAGCCGCTTCAAGCCATCAACACTTCTATCAAGAAGCTATATCAACTGGATATCTTTTATATAACAATACTTCACAGATTCCTTCAATTGTATCCAAAACTTCTTACAGGTATCCAAGTTTTCAAAATTAATCTCCAGAACATAAAAAGGGAGAGATTCATTGATCCCTCTCAACAGCTTATTCATCTTTATTCATATCAACTCTCATTTGATCACAATAATGTTATGTAATCTACATCATTTTTGGACATATACTGTACAATACTTCAAAGACTTAACTAAAATGGTCCATAACACTACCAAACTAAAACATTATTAAATTATTCTCACATCCATTGGAATCTTTTCAACACTGACAATAATTTCATGTTACATTGAATGCTTTTCAACACTGACAATAATTTCATGTTACGTTGAATGCCACTCACAACCTAGTTCAATTCTTCAAAGCACAGTTCATACTTATATAAACCACAAGCAATGAAACTTCAACATATGTAAACGCACAATTTTACAACCACAGGCAAAACCCACATGTTCCTAACATTTCACCAAACAGTTGATAAAATAACACATAAATTAAAAACGAAAACCTCAAATAACAAACAGACAAACAAACCTCTCACAAGCATCTTCAACCGACGCGAACGGGTGCTTGCAATCTGGGTGGCAGACCCACCAGGCATCCTCGTATGCCATCTGGAGCTCCATTTGGTTCAACAGCCTCATCCCTTTCTGTTGTTGTTGCTGCTGTGGCTGTTGTGAATTTTGCTGATTCTGTAGCCGTAAATTAGAATAAGCATTGGCATTAACATTGGGATTAGGGTTAGGTTTTGTTATTGGAAAGTGATGGGACGATGGACGCAAGGTGGGCGCAGGTGGGCATCGATGTTAGAAGGGATGCCAGAGATAGCCGCCTGTTGTTGCGCTTGTTGTTGTAACAGAATAAACTGTTGTTGATTTTGTTGTTGTTGTTGTTGAACTTCTTGTTGCTGCTGGTGTTGAGCCATAGCCTTAGCTTCTTCCATTTCTCTAACTCTCTTCTCTCTCTTCTTCTTTCAGAAGAGTGAATGGTTTCATATAGATTGCACAATGATATTTAACATTTTCATGCTGATTGATACCTACAAAAACCCCAAATTTTCTCCCTTTAACAAAAAGAAAAATAATTATAAAAAAAAAAAGAGAAGAAAATACCAAACAATTTGAATTGAACAAAAATGAAATTCGATAGGGTTGCCGGAAATTAGATTTTCGAAATCGGCACCGCCGTTTCAAACATTAAAGCAATAGATAATAGATCACCACTTTCAGAAGAAAAAAAATGCGTATAAATCCATTAAAGATCGTCAAATTAAAAAGAAATTCGGCTTTTTACCTAAACAAGATAATATAAAGATGAATTGCTGGATGATTGAAGATTGATTATATTGAACAAATGAAGTAATTTGAACACTCACCTGAAATCGAAGACGCTACGATCGAGGACTAGCGCCGCCGCGAACGATACAATGATCGACAGGACCCTAACTCCGGATTTTCAGGAGCAAGGCCGTGGGTGGGGTGCTCCCAAAGGGAGAAAAAAATATAGTCCAAGTTTTGCTTGTTTTAACGTTTCCCTACCTTCACCTCGTCCAGATCTGTCACGTTTGGCTATTTTTCATTGAATAACGAAATTTCCCTTCAATTATTTGAAATAAAAATTTATCCCTTCTTATCATAATATCATTGTTCGGTTAAGGCTTCACCGTGTGATTTAACAAATCAAGGGTAATATGTGTTGGTCAAATAATAAAAACCCTAAAAAGACATTGATGTAATTTAACAAATCAGGGATAAAATGGATATTTAATTATTTTAATTCTATATCAAACAAAATTAATTAAACGAAATACTAATATGTCACTGACGACAATGTTTTCAATATTTTCTAAACACATTGAATGACAACAGAATTAAATAATCTCAAGAATCATATGAAAATTGCTATATTTTCCCATATCAAGAAGTTCTAAATAAGCTAATTGCAGATGAGATATTACAAGAACAAGAAATATAGTGAAAATTTCTCTCTTTACACCTGGCGCGATGCTCTTCAAATTCATCGTCGAATATTGTCGACTATAGCTTCACAACATTATAAGTTCTACTATAGTTTCGACTTTGAAAATGCTGCCAACATCAATAAGTTGAGTAGTTTTGCATGGATTATAGTTAGCAGAAGGAGCAGTATTATTCACTTGATTTCAGTGTGTCAAGAAATTTCTCACCTCCCATCTACAATTATGTCATTGACCCGAGTGACATTTACAGGAGAGAGCAGCGGGTCAACTCAAGAGCTAAGATCAGTTGCATTCTCAGACTGGTTATTCTTTTTGCTGTAACTTCTTGTAGATGAGTATGTATCAATATCTTTGTTCAAAAAGCAGTTTGTCATGTCCTTAAAATCCCTATCAGTCAAATAACTTGGCTTTGAAGTAACAGTTCCCACTTCTATGTCTCCAACAAGCATGCTAAGAAGACGTGACATTGGTGGCCGTAATGTCGATGATGCTTGAGTGCACAAGAGAGCCATTGCTATTACTCGAAGAGCTTCGATTTCATTTAACTTTGTTAATCTCAGATCTATCAACCCCAAAATTTGGTTACTTTCATGAAGACTCCAGGCCCGGAAATAGCCTATAGACAATTCAAAGGAAATGTGTTTTTCTTAACTAGGGTCATAGAAGTAAGCAAACAAAACAAATCAAAATTCAAATTTATTTCCTTACCCATTCAATAAGATAAATCTTTTCACTATCCAAATTCGTATTAAAGTTTGCTCTTCCACTGATAATCTCCAAAGCAACAACACCAAAACTGAATACATCAGCCTTCTCTGTCAGGTGTCCATACATTGCATACTCGGGCGCTGGATAACTACTGTAAGATAATTAAGTGTTTCTCATTGTTAAAATCCAAAAGTCAAGTCTAGATATTACTGTCAAACTGAACTTAATGATCAAACGTATCCCATGTGCCCACTCGCATTTACAATGTGAAAACCATTAACATTTAACAAATCTTGAATAATAACGAAGCAATACAATCACATATCTAGTCCCCCACAAAGATTCTAGCATCAATCACTATGTGACAATCAAAGATGACACAAATAGTTCTCTCAACATGCATGCATTGCTCTCAGTCATTTTCATCAATACATGTATGCTGAGGTTTTGAACTACGCTAAAACAAAATCTCCAAGGTACTGTTGGTATCTTCAAAGACAGCATATATAGATTACATCATATAATACTCTGAAGCACATTACAAGTATTAAGGAATAATGGCAGTCAAGAAATGATTGAAGGAGCTTACATGGTCCTTTCAACTCTTGTGCTGATGTGAGTTCTCGTGTCATCATACAACTTTGCCAATCCAAAATCTGATATCTTGGGACAGAGTTTTGCATCAAGTAAAATATTACTTGCTTTGACATCTCGATGTACAATCTTTGGCCTTGAATCCTCGTGAATATATGCTAGACCTCTTGTAGTTCCCAGGCATACATTGAATCGTGTAGGCCAATCAAGATGCAAATCCCTTTTTCTTGTAGAAACAATGGCTACAATCATTAAGATCTTCAAGAGTTATTGATTTAGAGAATTGAAGATTCAAGAACAATGTATACCCAGGAATGATTGGTGCTCATTAAAACATTGTGAAAAACAATACTTGACCAAGGCTTTTGTTTTCAAGGTATTCATAAACAAGGAGGAACCTAGTTCCCTCGATGCAGTGACCACACAATCGCACAAGATTGTGATGTTGTACTGCAGTTATGGTAGCAATCTCATTAACAAACTGATTTTTCCCTTGGTGGGATCCTAGTGAAAGTTGCTTCACAGCTATCACGCTTCCATCAGAAAGCTTAACCCTGTAGCACCAGATTTAATAAAATAAATCATGTCTGCTCCATCCTTGGTGAGTATCCAAGGTAAAATTCACCTGGTTTTTTTGTTGGTATCAAGCTATCATCATACCTTACATACACTACACAGCAACCCAAATTCCTAGTAT